TCATTTTATTCTATGCTTATGACGTTGAAAGGTATTTTTCGAGGAAAATGTTACATGTAACACTATTATAGTTTTGTATTTTTATGGCATAAAAACAAAACTTTACATATATCTTAAAAAAGAAATTGTATATATTGTCTTATTCGGATTTTTTTTTTTTTCTAAATTTTGTATTTGTTCAATGATATCGTCACCATTGTTTTTGCAAATTAAGTTTGTAGAAAAAGATAATAATAACTCTCCCTCTTTTCTCTTCTTATTCTTTCCATCTTTACTAAAGAAAAAGATGTGTATTATCTTTTTTGAAGTTGAAACTTCAATCTTGATTTCGAGTAAACCATTGAATTAGTTTATTTTAAAAAGAAAAAAAAAGGGAATGAATTACCAGATTGGTTTGAAAATATTTTGAGATACAATCAAGTTTTAGATCTCGTCTCAATATCATGAAAATGTCAATATAAATTATCGATAAAATGTTGATGTGGATTGATATGTTTGAAAAGATTATAAAAATAAAAAATAATATTTAAATTAATAAACAAGTATTTCACCATTTCTCAATAAGTTCAAAATGATTAAAATTAATATTATGTCTATATTAGTCATATTTTGTTGATATTTTTCGTGTTTTGTCAATTTTTTTTAGAATACTGAATGTCAATTAACCTCTCATGTTGATGTTGAATTCATAAATATATGAAAATGTTGATTGAAATATCTACCTATCAACGAGAATTTAATATATTAGATACACAAAAGGAATATTGAAAAATATCTGTTGCATTGTGGATAGTTTCATAAGGGTTAAAAAAAAGTAGTCCAATTAACAATGCAAATAAAAAATAACGAAACCAGAATAATTTATAAGAAATACACATTAGTACATTTACACGATTTCTTGTTATAATGATACTGAATTTTAAATAATAAGATAATTTTGTAATATAAAAAGTTATATTTAGGACGATATGAATTATTAAAATGTGGAAATTTGTGTGAATAAATTATATAACTGATTCATTCCATTATCGCAATTTTCTTTCTTCATAGGTTAAAATTTACATTTAGGACATGGTTTACCAATATCTAAAGTGAATATATATTCTTCCAAAGTATTAAAATTTAAAAGAGTTTACATTAATGCGGAGGAATATGAGGTCGACGAACCTCTATTCCAGGACTACAATATCGTCTAAACCAATCTATTTCTCGATACAACGATTTACGATTGAAATGAAAATGATAAAGCATGTCGTTATTCACAAGTACTAAACTTATTCAAATGATGAAAGAGTGTTTTGTTTATAAATTTTGGTTTAATTTATGTGAAACTATATTTATTTTTAGTTAATCATTAAATGATTTTAACAATAAAAGGAAGGTAATTAATTTAAATTAAATAAATATCAAACCATAAATACATTAAATTTATAAGGTAGGTTAATTAAACTATAGTTCAAATTACAAATTAATCGCGAGATATTATCTTTCATTCTCAAAACTTCATCATCGCAGCAATTGAAAATCTTAATCTCTAAATTTTTAATTATGTGTCAAATAACCTTTTAAACTTAGACACCAAATAAAAACAAAGTCTAAATCTTATGAACCAAAAATTAAGAATCCATCAAATACAATTATTAAAATTTGGATGACTAAACTTGTAATTAAACTTAAAATCTATATATTTCTTAAATTAATAGGAGAGAGGGTCCGGAAAAGAGAGAATCTTTTCAAAATTAAAAGATAAAATAAAATAAAATTTTCATAACTATAAGTAAGAGGTGGACCCTCCACGTAAGGCACACAGGCAACGTCCTTTTCGTGGGGGGCACCCAATTGCGTAGCTATAATTTCACAACGGTGGACCCCACAACTGGGACCCACATTGACCACCCGGGACTTGATTGCATCCACGTCAGATTCTTTGATTATTATTTCTGTTGTAATTATTAATTATTTTTTTATGATGATGGGCTTTGAGTTTGACAAATTGAAGGGGCCCACATAAAGGTTTGATGAGACCGCACCACCTTTGAGACAAAAATCAGTGCAAAAGTCTCCATTACCCAGACTTCATAAAGGCCCAAACCCATGGCCCATGACATCCCCCTTTTCTCTTTTATTTTATTTTTCACTTCTTTCTCAATAATAATTATACTTCATTTTGTAATTTTCGTCCATTTCATACATCTTTTAAAAGTTTCAATCTCGTTCTTTATTGTTGTCGTTAAATGCAGTTATTGGATTCAAGGCATGACGACTAATTTGTTAACATAGGATAAGCTTGGATTTGATATGATGATTTGACATTTGAGTAGATGAATTAGAAGTGCATAGACATATAGAAATTAGTGATTGATTCAGTTAGATTGGGGTCGGGTTCATCAATTGTACGAATTTAATTGATAGAAGAGAAACAGAAAAGTAGAGATTCAAAAGTTGGGGAAAGAGGTCGGCCTTGTGACCCCTAAACATTACCTCTATTAATGATTCTTCATGATTAACTTGTTTACGGTGCATAAGCCAAATTGTATATATTGTGGAGGGTTTAAAGTTGTGCATCACTTTAACAAATCACACGTAAAAGAAACTTTTCTCCTCAAAGATGAAAAAAAAAACCTCAATTAACAATTAAAGAGTTTACTTGAAATCAAATAATAAGTAAAATATAGGAAAGACTATCTAACTTTTCTTTTCATTTCTTAGTCATAATCATTATATTGAAAAAGATAGAGGAAATTAAAAAAAAAAAAAAACTTCTAATCTAATTAAGGAGATTGTAACACATACCCATTTGATCAACATGATAAATACCCTTGGATCAATTTAAGCCAACAACAATTACAAGAGGACCAATAAATAAATATAATGCAATGTATGGTATATTTTTGCAATTAGCTAGATTAAATTGTACTTTATTGCAAATTGTTGATTTAGACTTGACCTACAAATATTGAAACTATATGCCCAAGACTTTATTATTATTTTTAGAATGATTTTATAGCAAGACCTACTCTACATCTCTGTCTAAAACTTCAATAATGCTCTCTCTTTCTCTCTTTCTCTATCATGATTTTCTTTTCCCTTTTCCTTTTTAATCTTCTGCTTCAGTTAAATGTCTTTTCCCAAATTTGTCAAATAACAATTTCATTTCCATCCACAAAAGTATATAAAATATCAAATTAGCAGCAGGTAGCACAGCTTTCAATGATGCTTAAAGCCAAGACACAAGTGGATTGGGCTATGGACAAACTTCCTTTATATATCTCTCGACTTATGTAATCGAAAAACTTTTCACGATTCAATACTACAGTTAATATATTTTGATATTATATCAATATTCAATAAGGTTGTATCTCAAAATCAATTGGATAATAAAAGAAGTAACTCGTTCTTTCTCTTTTCAAACAGATTATGGTTCTTTTGGACTCGTCAATCTTGAACAAATCTTATTTTATTATAAATAGTGGTATAATTTTTTAGTTTTATAAATCAATAAAAGGATTTGAAACTATTTTTAATATATAAAGATATGATTTTGAAAATTAGACAAGAATTGAGAACGCTCTATTTCAAAGGAGCATCATTTTTCCCTTTTAACTATAACTATGAGGTAACGTCCCTCTCTGTCCACTTTTTCTTTTCCTCTATTTTTCTTTTGTCATAAAATTTTGCATTAAATTTGAAAAGGTTAAATTATGCAATTAATTATTTTTTCATTTTAGTATGTTTTATCGGCTACCTATCTTTTTCAAAATATTTTCAAATATGTATTTGTAATAAATTAATTCATTTGCAATGGTAATCAATTAATTTGTAGACTTTATACTGTCCTCGTTCATTTGTATAATTTTTTTAGTTCAAATTTATATAATTATTTTTTTATGCATACAATAAAATAGTTATCGATAGGAGTTGTTTATGCAAGAAATTGTACAACCTCAAATTAACTCGAAACCGATCCCAGCTCCGATCTGAAACTCAAAGGGAAGATCTGCACAAGAGGGCAAAATCTCCGACGCTCAAGTCAGTGAGCAGCTCAGACTCAATATTAGGTTCGAGGAGAAATTTGATACCCGATGGTGAAATGAAGCCCTCTATTTATAGGTTTAGGTTCCGATAGAGGTTGCGACAGGAGGTTACCTTGGTCGGATTTGAGGTCAGACGTGTCGGGCTCCAGCAAATCGAGCTTGGATACTTTCTCGAAAACAACTGGTTGCTCCTCGATAGGAAATGGCGAGTCTTCCATCTCGGAACCTTCCGAGATGGAGCTCCGTAAATTTGTTCTGTCGGATCTTTCTTTAGTGGCAAATCCCCGTCCTACACGTGGCAATAGGATTTTTCACTCCCAAACAGGAGTAATTCGAAAAACTATTGGAAGAACTTCTTCGTCTCAAACATGGTACGAGGTCTTTTGGGTGAAACCAAAAGCAAAGTCATGATGGTTATGACAAAAGTAGACAATATCATACAATTGTAGAGATACGTTGGAATATTGGATACTCATTGTCTTTAACAGTTGAACGAGAGCAATACAGCGAATTGGTCACCGAGTGGTCAAAAGAAGAGGACACCCACCTCTGAAGTGTCCTCGAAAACAAATTTATATAGTTTATTGATTTTGAAAATTGTGATTAATATGGATGTACCCTAATTTTCCAAAAATCTATCTTCTTTCGAGGAGCTATACTTCACATATAGGCCCAATAGCTGGAAATGGACTTATTTGGCGAACTGAAATGTTGGTTACTGGCCCAATTCATGTCAAATTCCCTTTCTTAGTTCAAAAAACTATATGATATTGTTTTTTTTTCTTTTTTTTCGAGAACAATATTAAAAGATAGTGTTAAGTTATGCTCATATTAGCATGTATTATCTCTAGATCATTAATTGGCTACGTATTCAGTTTTTTGTTCTTTATTTTGAGAATTAAGTCAAGTATATATATTATTAAACCCAAAAAATTAAGTTAAGGAACAATGCTAAAGAACGCTCGGTAATTCAAACAATGACCTCTATTTTTAGTCTATTAATATTGGTAACAATGGCACCAAAAACTCTAGCAGCTCATTCACTCTCAATCCAAAACCAACAAACATGTATCCAAATAAATATTACAAACAAAAAAGTAAACCAAAAACCATCTACTCATGAAAACTCACACGAACTAACGGTTGAAAAGAAGGAAAAAAAAATTGATCATAAATTCATAGATGCTGTAACTAAAAGGAGAGCGATGAAGAGCAGAGATTTGGAGAAGAAGATTGAGCTTCCATTTGATGTCCCATCTTCTGTTGTTGGCACAGTTTTTGAGCCTCCTCCTGTAAAATCACATCCCCATTTTTCAGTATTGTAGTCATTTTAATACCAAAATTGAAGCTTTGAGAATTAATTTTGTTAGAAACAGACTGTTTTGTCCCTATCATTACCGGCGGGCTCCTCGCTTGGAGATTCTGGTGTTTCCGCCGGACTGTCCGCCGGAGAATTGGCTGCCAGAATTAACAACCCATTGGTTAGTAGTAGTTTTTTTTTTCCCCCTCTAATTTACCTCTGAAGATCTAGAAATTTAAATAAGATTCATATAGTTTCAATTCAATTTGGATTTTATTTCGCTTTCTGTCTAAGGTTAAAAAAGTTCAAGAAATGAATGATCCGAAATCTAATAAATGATTTTAATGAATTAAATTAAATTTGTTTGTTTGGATGTAAAGAAAAATTCTTTTTACTTATTAGCCAAAGTCCGCCTTTTTACAAACTTATTAAAGGGGGGACTTTTAATCTAAATTTATTAGGTATAAATTATAATGGTAATTTATTGTGAAATTCTAAAATCCTATGATATCTCATCATTTTGATTTGGAAAATTTTTTACATAAAAATAAGATTTCAAATCATTAAAATTATCGTAAAAGAGCATTAGCCTTTATAATTTTAAAATAGCAGTAAAAGTAGGAAAAATAATTAATAATAAAAATTTGCAAAATTCAAATATACCACTTTTAATTTTACCGAGTAAAAAATAGGAAAAAATGAACGATGTTTCTAGTACGGAATCGAATTCATAACATCCTGCTAAATATTTTGAAAGGTGAAATTGAAACTTTTAAAAACTTGTAATTTGAGACTTTTGGGGAGAGAAATCTGACCGTTGCAACGGCTGATGGGGGGAGTTTGAAGACGGCAAGCGCCAGGTAGTGCCAGCGCCAGAGTTTGATTGACGTTGATCCCAAGCGCCGAGGCGCCGCCGTTGAGGACCTGGCAGAGGCACTGCGGCTGCGAGCGGACCACGCTGCCCAGCTGCGAGCAGCACCTTGAAGACGGCGTCGACGAGTTTCCGGTGATGTAGTTGAGGCACGGCGACAGGCTGATCAGTACATTGCTGCAATCCGACGACTGAGCCCCCGCTCCCGCCCATAGCACTGTCATGGCCACCACTACCAGAACAACACCACTCGCCCCCATTTTTCTGGCTTCCATTGCCAAGCTTGCTCGGAGAAATTAATGTTGATGCTTTGGGGATGTCGGTTTTTCTGATGATATCTGTTGAGTTGGGGGGAAGTGGATTGTGGATTGTGGATTGTGGATTTATATGGAATTTAGGGAGAGATGAATGTTGGGTTTTGTTGGTGAACTAATTTTCCTACTTTGTTTAACGAATCTCTCGTGAGAATTTGGAAGGTTGGTGATGAAGGCCAAATTTGACAAAGAACGCGTCATCGTTAAGTTAACGATTTAATTCTGTAAGTGAATTCCACAAAAAAAATTTGGAAACGATGAGCATCGAATTATCGAACTTGAACAACTCTATAACAAGGTTATCGAACTAATAGCTAAAGTTTGAATGGTAATCGCTTGTCTTGCAGCGTATCTCACGTCTAGAATCTCGAAGATAACTGCTGTGTTGCACACAAGACTCCAACAATTATCTCTCCTAAATATATCCATAAACGACCTAAGAAAGGTACACAATCTTTTCAAATTGAGATTTCTCTCTAGAATCTCATTGACGAGAGCTTTTGAGTGTTAATTTTTTGTTTTTTATTATCATCCATCGTGTTCAAGTGTTCTTGGAAATTTTAAAGTTTTTATCGATTTTTAAGTTAAAACAAGTGGTTCAATTCTACATGACCCAATTGGAAACGCTTAGTTTGTAAGAAATATTCCTTTTTAACAAGTAAGCTTTCTTTGAATTAGAGATAACGAACCTTTTCACGTCTCTACAATATTATAATATTGTCTACTTGAACATCGTCGGAGTTTTGTGTGCTATTTATCTTAAATTATTTAGTATGGATTTGGAAGAAGTTGAGACCTTGGCCAATCATCAAGTTACAAATCTCCTTCCTTGGTCAACAAATCCAAATTCTTCTGAGAAAGGGCTCAAAATGTGCCACCTCATGCCAATTCCCACCTGCTTCCACTTTCAAACCTTCAAAATTTTCACATGTTTGTTAAAGTAGTTGAGCTCCAAAACCAACTCTCCATCAACTCTGTCCAATTTTCCCCTCTCCCTATAAATCCCTCACATATTCCTCTGTTCTGAAACAGAGCACACCAAATTCCCAAACTCCAACTCTAAAAACACATCTCACAAAGCCAAAATGCAACTTGTGAACCCCTTCTCACGCCTTGCCTTGGTGCTGCTGCCTATGGCTTTAATGGCATTTCTTCTTCTTCTTCTTCCGGTGAATGGACAAATCAATATGCCGTGCAGCGCCTCGATGCTCTCGAGCTTCACCCCTTGCTTGAACTTTGTCACCAACAGCACCGGCAATGGCACTTCCCCGACCGCCGACTGCTGCAATGCACTCCGATCTCTCGCAAGCGGCGGCCGGGACTGCCTCTGCCTCATTGTCACCGGGCGTGTCCCCTTCCAAATTCCCATCAACCGGACTCTAGCCGTCTCTCTTCCTCGCGCCTGTAACTTGCCCGGCGTCCCCCTCCAATGCAATGGTATGTGATGTATCTTTAAAGGGAAGTTTTCTTTTTCTTTCTTCTTTTGTCACAAAACTTAACTGATCTGGGCACCTATGTTTCAGCCGCTGCTGCCCCTGTTCCTGCTCCAGGTCAGTGCCATTTCTGAATAAACTTCATCTTTTTCTTTCTTTCCTTAACTCAGCATTGAAATTTACAGGTCCGATCCCTCTTGGACCAGCTCTCTCCCCTGAATCTTCGCCGTCGCCGTCGGTTACTCCTCAAGGTAATCTCTCTAATCTCTTAACCAAACTTCTCCCAATCGTCTGAAAAAACTTGCCTTTTTTTGCAGCGCCGGAACCCACCACTCCGGATCTTTCTCCGGCGGCTGAAAATCCATCTTTCCCGGTTGGCCCCGAAGCTCCCACTGGGACCGCCGGAAGCCGCCCGGTTCTGACCCCGTCCGCCGCCGTGGCTTCAAACAGTTTCTCACCTTCTGTTCTGCTGCTGGGATTCGCGGTTTTAATTTTTAAATTCAACTGAATGTATAGAAGAGAAGAGGAAGACATTATTTCCTCAGGATTTCGATGTGTAATTTTCATTATTTTTCTCTTGTATGATAATTATTTGTCGGAGTGATTGGAGTTTTATGATTCTGTTCTCTGTTCGTGAGGATGCAAATTTTTACTAAACGGTTAACAAGGGTATTTTGGGGAATACGTAGCTCTTCGTCTTCCCGCCATTTATAATCGTTAAAAAGGGGACTTGTAATTTAATTCTAACGCTTCGCTAACGAACTAAAACCCTGAAGAAAAGAAGTCTTCGAGTTGCTTCAATTGTTCGCTTCGAGTTGCTTCAATTGTTCGATCTCTGCAATTTCCTTACGAAATTCAGCCATGGCGGCGATAATTGGCGTCGTGAACGCGGCTATGCCGCTCTTTCTTTCGTTGATCGCGTTTCTCACGGTGTCGATGTCGGTGGTTGCGATGTCGGCACGGTCTCCGGTGACGGGATGCACCACCAGAGAGCTGCTCTTGCTCTCACCATGCTTGCCGTTCATCTCTGCTCCGCCAAACAATCTTTCCGATACGGTTCCCTCCGCCTGCTGCGACGCATTCTCCTCCGCTTACGACTCTGCCGGCGGCATTTGCCTCTGTTACTTTCTTCGTGAACCTCAGATTTTAGGTTTCCCGCTGAATAGTTCGAAGCTCATCGCTCTGTCTTCGCTTTGTCCTCTCAGTGGAGTGCTTTCCGAGAATCATAGTTCTCTGAACTCGATCTGCGCTGGTATGAATTCGGAATTATTATTCTCCATCTCGTTCTCTATATATGACTGGAATTTCTTGATTCTTGATTTCCTTGATTCTTTTTCCCCTTACAAGTTACAACTCAGACTCGAGATTCTTGTTTTCCGCTGGTTTTATCGAAGCAATATTTTATTAATGTGTTGCTTACGCTATCAGCTTCACAGACTCTGCCTCCCCTTCAAAGCGCGAAGATTCCAGGAATCGAAGAGCCTGATAGTCCTGGTAATTCTTCTGATTTCTTCTTATATGTATAATTTATTTCATCAATCTGGATTACCCGTGCTAATCGAATGATAACACAACTCAGGATGAAGTCAAATCAAATCATAATTTCACCTTTTAATCAGCAATTAAGATTGAATTAAATCTCATCTTCCTCATGACTCTAATATTTAATAGCTATTTGAGATCAATTAATAACACTATTAACTATTATGACCCTAAATTGCTTGCTTACGACTGTGTTCAGATGACGATGATACACCAGCTCCTGGGACGGGCTTATCACCACCACCATCTGCAATTGTATCACCATCAGCACCTGCAGATGAACCGCCACCGTCCCCGTCTTCTGCAACAGCTAAGTGTTTGCCAGCAATAAAAGATTGTATTGGTTTGTTCTTACCAGGTTCCCTCCTCTTCCTCATCCACATTCTGTTTCACTTTTAGATCAGTTTTTTAACACTTCGAATCGTAGTATAACCGTGGTGAAGAAGCCCGTGTCATCATGCTGTGTTGCATTGTAATGGGAAAGTGTCAAAGTTCTTATAATTGTATTTTTTTCCACTTGATCAACAGGATTCCATGTTCATAGAATCAATAAACATACGACAATAAAACAAATTTATGAATCTTCTACTTGCGACTACATGATGGCGTGACTAATAAAGAGCAACTTATCGATCTCCAGTCGGGAGTTTTTTTTTTTTTTTCAAATAAACAAAGGGAAATGTGAGAAACAATCACTTGTTTTTCTCTTTCAAAGCTCTCTCCAGTTGGATTTGTCCTAGTTATATACATTCCCTGTAAATATTTGATGACATATGGCATTCTGCTGACATTTGAAAATAATAATCAGACTACAAAAGCATATGACTTCCAAAGCCTTTGACTTGATCAAGATTTTCATATTATAGGAGTAATATTATTCTGACTTTAGCACGATTAGACAAAACAAAAGTGATCTTGGACATAACCATAGTTTCCTAGGCATCTACAAAGATCTAAGTAGAGAAAAAGTAAGCAAAAATTTTCTTTCTCCACTTCATTTCTGGATCTGTAGCAAAAGTTACTTCCAACCATCAGACCATTCAGCTTCATCAACAACCGGAGTAAGAAATTCCACCTCCGGCTGCTCTTGATTCTGCCCTGCTGCTGCTCCTTCAAACCCATAATTCTGTTCCTCTTCGTTATTGCATAGATTATCCTCATCTGTGGGATCCTGTCTTTCGGGAAGGGGACAACCTTGATAGGAATCTTTGTCAACACACTGCCATAACAGCTTGCTCCAGTAGACATCCTGCCAAAACGAGAAGTTATGCCATAATGCTTTTCACATGTTTCCAAATCTGGCAGCCATTCTTTTCAAGCATCTTCTTAGTTATTAGAGAGCCCCCAATGCCCAAGACACTTCACAACACCACACTTCACAACACTACGGGTGCAGTGTATTTATAAGAGAGAGTAATGTGGATGTCAGGCAAGATTCAAATTCTTTATTTGAATGAAATTCACAAGTAACTCGATGCACAACAAGTCAATGAAGAGCAATGTTATTTGGTTTAACTCTATTTTTGAACCTTTTTCTCGTACGTGGGACTCTATCTTCTTGGGTAGATAATCAATCATGTAAGAACCAAGTGGAGAGCAAAGTAAAAGGTCCAACAAGGAGACGAGACAATAACATTAAACTTGATGGTAATATGCCTATCATGAATAAACTTAAGAGTACACCATCCCTTAGATCCAGGAAAATAATATTTCAATAACGTAAAAACAAATTTTATCAATAGTATTTTAGATGAACACAAGTTGAATCTGAACAACATTTAGTAAAGTAGTAAAAATCACCTGATTGATTATATGGGGATTGCCAATAATAACCAGAAGAGATATAGCCCGGGTAACAGCCACATTAAACCTTCTTGGATTACTTAAGAACCCCAAACAGTAGGTTCTGTCAAACTCATTGTGTTTGATTGTTGATCGAACAGTAGAAACAATAATCACTTGCTTCTCTTGTCCTTGAAATTGTTCTACACTACCAACCTTTATATCAAGCATATTCAGGCTTTCAAGGGCTCTCCTTATTTTGGTCACTTGTTGTCGATAGGGTGTTATCACCCCAATATTTTCCTCGCTCAGACTTCCACCGGCTGTCAATTTCTTTATAATCTCTACGACCTTGCTTACCTCGATTCGGTTAAACCACGATGGATTGTTTCCCTCCCTCTCGTCGCAGCCTTGGATACCGAAGAAAAGAACAGGATACTCCCTATTGGGAAGTACTTTAAGAATATCTTCTGTATCCGTGAGGAAACTTTTCTCATCTTTACAAGCAATTAGTTCACCACCATAGAACAATGTGGAAGGAAGATGCAAGATATCCGGATGACATCTATAGTTTCTTAACAACTTTGTTACATAGTTTTCATCCCCAGTGCTGTAATATTTACATTCAAAAAGCCTTTCCAAATATGACTTACCCAATCCATAAATGTCTGCTTCTTTAGAGTAAATTACTGGACCTAATTGCATGGGGTCACCAGCAAGTACAACAACTGTTTTCCTTAGACAGAGGTTGGATACAGGAATTAAGGTTTCTGGTTCTGAAGCCTGCCCAGCCTCATCCAAGAAAATGTGAGAGAAGTGACCACGCTTGATATCTTCAGCATAAAGAAGGGAAGTACTCGTATACGTCGATACAACAATCCGATAGCGCACTAGTGCACTACGTGGAGGACACTTGAAGATTTGTTCATCAAAGAAGCAGTACTGAAGGTGATCGGGCTTAATGTCCTCGTATTGACGTGTGCTTGCATTTAGCCTGAAAACGTCATTATCTCGAACTTCAACGCCCTCCTCACTGAGGAGTTTATCCAGTATGTGGTCTGCAGCACTATTTGAAGGAGCACAAACAAGAATCCGAGTGTTCTTTCCTGTTGTGTAAAGCTGGAGGATAGCTTCCACTAAGGTTTGAGTCTTACCTGTACCTGGAGGTCCATGAACTAAATAAGGTGGCGCTCCTCTGCAACCGAGGATCATCTGAACGGAACGCATCTGTTCCTCGTTCATATTTTGAGTTATAGGCACCAGTGGAGTAGTCTTGATATGTCTTTTCTCTGAAAACTCATATGGGAACAGAAACTCCTTTGCCAAATTTTCTGCAGCATCAATAGCCTGATATAACCTTCTCATGTTGATTCTGTTATAAGTGAACTGAACATTATACATGTTGTTATCTCTGTGGTTGAGGTGAAATTCGGGGGCAAACTTTAGGTACACTTCATCAGCCTCAACATGATGAATGTAGCCCTGCACAAAACTGGAACTGATTATGGAATGTGAACAAGAACATTCTGAATATTAAACCAAAGAAAATTATGCACATAACTTTTTCGTTCGATAAAAGAGTATATAGTTATTCATGATTTGACAAGAGAGCAAGTAAGACATTGTCAAAACCCATTCAATTCTACCAGAATCCAGCCACATTTCCTAAGAACCCTAGCAACCTGATGATGTGAATGTTCGTATAAAAAACAGTTTCTCAAGAGTAGGAATAGTTTCTAAACATGATTGATTGCCTATGCATGAGAGAAGAAGAAGACTCAATATTTATGCAGACCTAGACCTGATAAGTAGAAACTGAGTCAGGTTCGTAAGGCATCTTGGCAAGAATATAGTCTCCATGAACTAGCGAAGGCCTTCGCTCCGCGAGCCCTGGAACCTCGAGGGACAAAAATTGATTTCCCTTTCTTTTCATAGCCACACGCTCCATATCATAGGCTCTCATGTCCTCCTGTAGGCAATAATTAACCAAGTTTCAAACAATCTCAAAAAGAAATGCGTAAATACATTGACATCCTCTTATTCACAAACAAAGTTTTTCTTACCTCCAATTGTATTTCTTCCACGTTCAACAATGTCATGAAATAGTGAACATAGGTATCTCTCTTAAGTCCTTCCCGAACAACACTAGGAATCTCTCTTCTACCAACTACATCTCTAACTTCACTGGGGACGTCATAACGAGGAATCCAATTCCTGAATCCCGGACCTTGCGTTCGAGAGGGACGCGAGCCGGGTACATAGGAGTCAACTACCTCGTGCCTCTTCTTCCTATCTCTCGAATACGGCTTCCTCGAAACCAACGACTGCGAAATCTTATCATCGGCCAACAGGAAAGAAACTCGCTCTATTCTCTCATTCCCAACGTCAAAATGCACAACAGTGGTGTGCAATCCAATTTCCTTGGGCTTGCAAGACAACCACACAGTAAGAGTATCATCCGGATGGAGCATTCTATCATCCAACGTGAAAGCCTCCAAGAACTCTTGTAAAGCTTGTATGTCAGCATTGGCCGAAGGGGGCTCCATTAGAGAGAGCGTAAACGAGTTTTCGGGATTAGATGCATAAATATTAACAGCCCATAGGTCGATGGATTCGTCGGTGGTGTTCCTGAGAGTGATTGCATCGGCCACAGTTTCTCCGACGAAAACTGATTGGGGTTTGCCATTGACAAAAGGGAATGGGACTGAAATAATAACTGGACCTTCCTCGAGAGGATTATAACTGCAAACAGATTTATCATCTTCATAGTCGATGTAGGAAATCTCTCCTTTCTCTTTAATGACGGAGAACTCTTCGCCCCATTTATCACCAAGCGTTCCCATTATGAACAGGAAACTGAGAGGAGAAAATGGAAATCATAAGAAACAAAACAAAACCCAGAATTCGGTCAACAGCAAAATTAGAACAAAGAGAGAGACGAATAAGACTCACTGTTGCGTTGATCAAAGAGTTCGGTCCACTTTGCAGTAGAAAACTCGTCGCCTTCACTAAGAACTCATCATCTCTCGTAACAATAATTTAAGAACAAGGGCTCAGATTCACCTTGGCGATGTATAAATATTTATTGCCCTGCCTTTGGAATGACAAATCTGCCGAAATATCAAAATAATAAATTTTGGAAATTGGATGCAATTTTACTAACTAAACCCTGAAATTATATCAGGAAATAGAGTGTTTGTTTGATCGCCAATAATATGGTTAGGTTTTGTGGGTAATTGAGATTACCAAAAAAGAGAGGCATTATAAAACAACTTTTGTTTCCTGGTACACTTTAGAAGTCAATGTGAGAGTCCTCTTAAATGACCCCACCTAACTCTTTATTTATTCTTCTTAGTATAAGAAAGGTATAATACTCCGTCTTTTAATAAAAAAGTAGATGTCATTTACTGTTATTACAACACGCACTAGTGCCTACCAAGAATCTTAATGTGTGGGCCTCGTCACAATGGCTCTCTTCACGCATCAAGTTCGGATATAGACAAAATATTTGTGAACAAATAATAAATAAATAAGTGAAATCCACTCTCAAGGTTCACATTTTTTATCATTTATTTCAAATTTTAAGTGTGTTAAAGAACCGAATAAACTTTAAATAATTTTGATTGGATGTTCACAATTAATAAAAACAAAAAGAATGTATTACATTTACTGTTATGCCCTTATTATTTTTAAAAATATTATATTAATTATAATATAATATTTTAATATGCAATGAAATAATAATGTCAAATAACAGTAAAAAATAATGTCAACTGTATATAAGGAAATCATTTAATTAAACCAACCTAAATAAAAACTTGCAAATAAAATTAAAAAAAAAAACTTTAGAAAAATCTTAAAAACAAATTATTTCAAATCTGAATAAAAATAATCTATACATTTATTATAACAAAAAAGAAGTAAGCATAAAAATGATTATTTAAAAATTTTAGGGATCAAATAAACACCTACTCCAAATCTCAAAAACTAAAAATATTAATTTTAAAACTTATAGTGATCAAATTGACACCTACAGTGTGTTTTTTTTTTCTCTCTTCTTTTGAAAGATATCAGTTTTACATTTTTTTCAAACCATCAGATGTCAATAGGAAAGTAGAAGATGCGTCCTGACTTCAAGATTTATAATCCATTATCCTAAATCAAAGCTGTTCAAGAAACAGAGACACAGCTCAAGTGGAAGCCCAAGCACTCCCAATCAAGACTGATGAATGACATTAAAAGGGTAATGTTCTGGAACAATACAATGTCAAATTCTCAGACTGGAAGAGCTCCAGTATCTTTAATGGATTGACGCCATGCAACCTCTCTTGCCCCATCCTTGTCTACAATCTTGATCACAAAGTTTGGTGGAGCCACGACCAGCCTCGAACGGATCTCCACGATGCACTTATCAACCAACTCGATCGCTTCCTCGACTGACATGCCGCTGTGGTAGTGCCTATCCATCATAGAGAGTGAAAAGTAGGATCCATAACCAAAAGCACCCTTCTCAACCTTGTGAAGCGTGGCAATGTAATCGATGTAGTAAAGCGACGGGCCGGTCTCCTTGTCATACCCAGCCAGGAGGATATTTACAGAGTATGGATTCTGAAAACAAAACGTTGCAGTTATGAAACATTTTAATAGCTTCAGAAGTTATTCTATGACACTTGATAGATAGTTTAATACATGGGGAAGAGAATTCTCTAGATATTCAAATACGGGAAAAGGAGATGGCATCAGAGAAGTTATGGTGACACCATGTCTAAACATGAACATTCAGAACTTGGCAGGGTGAGATGCTTCTTACTTGAGAAGAAGACATCATAAGTTGACCAACAAAGTAAATAAATAAAAGATGGATATGCAGGATTCAGCCCCGGTCAGGATGTTCGTATAACTATGCACGCAATCAGCAGAAACTTTATAAAAGCAGCTTCATTATGAACATTTCTCAAAGAACATAAAGGGATGTGTTTCAAAAGTTGATGGGCTTTAGATAATTAGATTAGATTTTTAAATTTAAAGATATCATCATATATGCAATACATAAGACTTGGACTTTGTACATGCACAAGTCTAGCATATTTCCTATTTTTATATTGGATCCTACCATCTCAACCTACCATCCTCAAAAAGCCATTCCCGATAAGTACCAAACTGATCTCGTCTTTTACGGAACCAATACCCTTTTGACTGTACAAGAATATGTGGAAGGTGGCATGTTTGGAAGAAGTCACTTATGATAATCATCCACATATAAAATGTAATCTTAATGCCTGAAAGTTGGGTAGGGTGCGCTCGTAACTTCCCTTTAGACCTAGCTGCTAATCCTTACCTGCTACCTAATAGTTCTACCAAAAAAACTTTTACCATCTGAACCAGCTAATCTAACCATTGGGCTCAAACATTACATCCTATGGTGATGTAGAAGCACCAAAATTACTAAGCCTCAGCTGTATGCTTCCAGATCTTGCTACTCAAAATACTCACTTTTTTTTTAGATAAGAAAAATACTCACTTTTAGTATGCAAATTATGAGAAATGAACAACTACCCAACAGCATGCGTAGTTTCTTACCTTCCCAGACATCTTATTAGGGCAAATGATAATAATGCTAAACCAGAGGTCTACACATTAGACGTGTTACGGAACTCTCGTAAGAAAATAGTATCAACTCCCAAGACTCTGAATCTTCATAGATAGAGCCTATAAATATCACAAGATTTAACTTGTTTGCATCATCATAGAAACAACCACCAAGGATTTTTGTCACCAAAAGTTCGTTCCTTTTCCAACTTAACACTAGATCCCATTTTCTTATCCCAAAATATAGAGTACATTGAATAACAGAGAGGAGAAAGCGTAGGCATTTGCTTCCTAACAAGAATAAGAACCAACTCTGAGCGAATTTAACATTTTCCAGATAAGAACAAGAACAAACTACTACATCAAGTTTAACAGTCTGGCATATAGTAGCCTAATGCAAATCCTCCCCAAACTAAAAAACATCCACAACCCAGAAAACTAAACTACCATGAAGTAAAGAACTAAGGAAGGTCAATATACTTTCATCACTGAAACCAACCCCTTGAATTTCAGTTCAGGGGGATTATGAGTTCACCAGAACTATAGTATGGTGAGATCAGGACAGCTATATCCCATACCATATAACCCAAACTGAATCATACAAAGGTAAAGGTTGAAATGGAGCTCCAAATACCCAGAAGAGACCTAACAAAAACATTTCAAATCACCAAAAAAACGAAGAATTAATTTATGTACCTTCCTCAAGGCAGTGGCGAGCTCGCCTCGGGTAAAATTAGCAGCAGCAGCAGTTGTGAGGGGGATCCCATTTCTGAATTGGTACAAGGAGACGTTCTTCTGAATGTACTCGGTGAACTGAACCCTACATGGACTCGAACAAAAAGAACAATAAAAATCCCAGAATACCGAGAAAACGAAATCAAACTGCAGAAGCTCTGTAAACGAACCTATCACCAGGCTCGCCGCTAGCGGCGACGAGCTTGTGAGAGTCGAGGACCATAATCTTGTCTTCGTTGGATTTATGGACCAAGATGCTGTGTACTGCCGAAGAATCGGCAGCAACAATGGCAAAGCCATTACCCACCAGGCCAAAAACACATTCCATAATCTTGTTCCTTAGAAATCAACACTCTTTCGATCCTTCGCCTCCACTGAATTCTTTCTTCCCTTTTCTGTTTATAAGATGTTCTTTCAGTTTCCAATCGTATGCCACCAAAGTGCCAAAGGCAGCGACTTGAGCAACACGTTGTTGTCTTCGTAAATTTTGCAAAAATTGGCAATTTTATGAGGGCGTATTATTCAGAAGAGTGCTTGCATTTGGGCTGAATTGGGCCTCGAGGCCCAACCCACTTTCGGAGCATGGATTACAACTTACAAGACTCCAACCTTATGAAAGAACTCATACAACTCACTTTAAAAATTTTCCGTTCAGCAAAGTGAGCATGAACGTAATTTAGTGGCAATTGACATATACTTCAAATTTTCAACATGTTGTACTCAAAAGAAAAAAAAAGTTTCAACCTAACTTTTTTATATTTTAATACTTTTTTAATTATATTTTCTTAATTGATATTAAACTAGGGATGACAACAGGATGGATCCGAGGTCCAATCTCAACCCTGCCCCGTTGGAGATTTTTTCTCATCCCCAAAATTTTGGGGGTGAGGGCAGGGCAGGGATTCCCTTATCGAAGATGGGTTCCCCTCGAGGAACCCGACTCCGACATATACATATACATATACATATACATACATATACATCTACATATACATACATATACATATATATATATATATATATATACATATACATATGTATATATGTATGTATATATATATATATGTATGTGTATATATATATATGTATGTATATATATTTATTTATTTATTTATTATTTATTTATTAATTATTTTAATTATTTAAAAAATATAAACTTTTTCTTTTATGGAATATTTTAAAATACAACTAAATACAATTAAGAGTACTTTCCCTCCATCCCCGCCCCGACTCCGCCGAAGACCCCGTTTAGGATCCTCATTTGACCCCACCCCCAATCAAATCGAAGGTTTCCCAACCTTATCGAATTGGGTACCAATGGGGATAAGGTCCAACAGGTATTTTTGCCATCCGATTGAACACCAACTCGAGCATGATTTAATGGGCGTCATCCATTCATAAAAGCTTACTAATTCAATGATTACAAGTTTAAAACACAAACGCTAAAATGTTTAAATCTGAACACAAGCATTAAAAAAATATGCCGATCTTATTTCTTATTCTTGGCGTCCAACACTACATCTTGAGACATTAATACGAATATAAAAATGGAAAAAGGACTACCACAGAAACAATTTACCTGAGTAATCATTGCACAAAATATTAAATAAGAGAATGGATTCTCTTTAACCTAGTTTGACACAGTTTTTAGGGCTGTATATAATTCAGGCTTAGCATTTTTTTTCCTTCTTTTTTTGGTGGAGGGAGGGGGGAGACAGAGATACAAGTAGAATAGAGAGATTCAAATCTAAAACCAATGAATTATGGAGGCATCACTAGTGGGTACATAAGTTTGTGAGAAAAAGAAAACTTCAAAGACAACTGACAACTTTAGGGGAAAATTGGTACCAATGTTTTGGCATTATAGGCAGGCAAATGCATCTGATTGAGGTGTCAGTAATGGCTAAGAAGACACAAGAAATGGGCTAGTCTCTACAGTTTACTGGGTCCATTCACTCGTGAGTTTAGATTAGTGAGAGGGGAAGGAGGGTATGGACTGCAGAATCAGTTTCCGGCTGATTCTAGGCGACGGCCTGAAGTCGCCTTGCGGCGGAGGTAGAGTGACCCTCTTACTGTTGGGAGAAACACTCTTCACACCTGTGTTAGAAGAGCAACAACCCATACAAAGAGTTCCAGGCATCTCATCCTCACAGGGAGTTTTCTCAAACCTGGGCTCTGTTTGAATGATGCCATGCTTCTCGAGTTTAAATCGAATGCTCGGTCTAGAGAAGGGCTCGTCGTCAATGAAAGATGGAAGTTTCCTCTTCAACTGGAATGACAGTGGAATCAATGATCTGAAAGGAGCAACATTTTTATCAACGGTTGTGAATCATAACAGCTTTGTTCAATCATAGTTTGATTCTTACCTGCGTGGTCCTCCTGGTAGTGATGCCAAGGGAACAGCATTGATTGGGTTCTGCTGATCTTCATCACTCTGTATTTCTGCATTTTTTTGGCAATGCTCTCTTTCTTCTTCCTCTCGTTCGGTCTCAGTTCCTCCTATTAGAGCTGACTCTGGAATCCAAAGAGATTGGAATATGTAAAGAAACAAGAATTCCAAGCAAGGACATTGTTGTTTGATAAGAAATAACGAACAACAACTTCATATGTGGCCAGAATTTTGTAATCAACACTCAAAAGTAAGGTCATATGCTGGCTTTTCAGAAACCAAGTTGAGCTTTTAAAAGAAAGAACATACTTGGTCACTTAATCAGGCAAGCCTATTGTCTGGTTAGAGAAAGGTGGGAAAAAATGCAACAAGCAGATTTAGATGATTAACAGGCATTGAAGTCGGATATGTATGGCCAAAAGTGATGTCAAACTCACCATCTTTCTTTCCGAATGCGTTTTTACAACCTTCACATCTGCAGTTGATGGAGCATCCAACACCGCCCTTTTTAAGAACAAAAGCACCAAGATCAGTTCAGATATGACGTTTAACTTAACATACCAGAGAAGAACTTGACAAAAGGAAGGGAAATAATCAAATAACCTGATAGCACTCGCAGTATTTCTTTAAGCAACTTGATTTCTTGCAGTTGCATCCTCGTTTATGTCGCGCTGAAGCTGGAGTTTTGTTCGAATCATCCTGCAAGACCAACTTATCAGGATCAAACTGCAAGCCACGGTGCAGACAAATTCTTTAACAAAGTGGCAGAGATTCAAAGCATACTATCTAACCCCAAGTTCAGAAACAGAATCAGAGTTCAGGATCACTTTAGGAGCAAACGCAAGTGGATTGCGAGATTCAATCTGTCTGCGAGTCTCGAGAACCACAGCTTCATGTGTCGGTTTGTTGAAGCAGTCTTGACATGAACATGGTTCTATGCAGTACACACCAGCAGCAAAGCATTCACAATATCTGAACAAAATTACTGGTTTAGATTGAGATATTGACGTTATCAATATGAATACAAGTGTACACAAACTGTTTTTTTTTTTTCTATATCCGTATGTCCTCCAGCTTGCGCACACCTCAACTAATCACGGGTCAACCGCCTGACCTTACTATATATGGTTACAGTTTGAACCCATTCTCACTCTAAGGCCTTTGCTATTTGAACCCTTTGTATCCCACACTAATTTACCATTAAACTTTACTCAATGACTAATATTTATAGTAATAGAGATATTGCCTACTTTCAGTCCAAATGAAATCTTGATCCGCACTAAAATTTTGGGGAAATCTCATAGCAATGGCATCAGCAAGTCTATAAATAGATGAAACATTGTCACTTACAGTTTCAGGCACCTAGATTTCTTGCAATTGCAACGTTTACACGCCCCGATTCCAGCATTATCAATCCATTTCCTACGAATCCATTCACAAGTTGTTAGAAACAGCCATACAAAGCAACCAGCAAACAAAAAAGCTAAAATGACTACAATCCAAAATTTCCATGGAGAATAGATTCAAGCTTCACACCTATTCTTCTTAGGGTTGATCTGATCGAGATCTTCCCCAATTGGAAGCGCGGGCTCTTGAAGAGGGCTTCCTCTTTCAGGAGTGGAAGAAGCCAATAGGGGCTGATCTTGACTGGAATTGGGGGCATAAAATGGGGCAAGATTCGGCTGTGTTTCAGAGCACAGATTCTCCGAATCGGAACGCTTCAAAGTCGCGGCGAGAGCATTCAAGTGCAATCCAATACCAGGAAGAGTGCATCGAAATGCATTGCCAGAAGAAGTCAGAGAGAGAAGATTCTGATTAGGTTGAGATGAAGAAGAAGAAGAAGATGAAGAAGAACCACGGATTGAGGAAGCGCCGTGTGCCGCCGCCGAGGCGCTGGTCTGGGGATTTCCCGCCATTTCGAAATCTAGACATCGCCTCCGCATATTGCCGCGGTGTAGGTTAGAGAGAGGCTAACACAAGAATCATACACTCTCTTCATCAGCTAACAGTGAAACCATAAATTCATAAATAATATGTTCTTTTCTATTTTCCATTTTATTTTTTTCTTCGATAATTCAGAGTCTTGTTAGTTACTTTTTAATATGTATGTGTGTAGGTAATATATAAAATTTTGAGAACTAATAATAACAAATAATAATGTTCTTCCTTTTCTTTTTTTTTTTCAAAATTGACAGATAAAAAAGATAAAATAATTTTTAACTAAGTAAATAGTTGTTAATTTTTTTGTAACACCTCAGTTTTATTCACCGAAAAAAATAACATATTTTTTAATCTAATTTTTCTTTTGAAATTTGTGCTCTCAAAAAAAAATATTATGTCTTGATTTTCTATTTTTTTATTATATTCCTTCGAAATTTAATAATTGTCAACAAGTGATTTGTGTATAGTTTTCAACATTGTTCAAAGATCTATGACTAAAATAGAAAATCATAGATTAAACAAAGGAATAAATATTAAGCGTATAAAGAACTAACTTCCAAGAAAAAAATCAACAGAAGAATAAATTAAATTATCAAACTCAAATCCTTTTCTAACAAAAAAACAAAAAGAAAACTTAGTTGTCAAATCGCTATTGTTTTTGTTTAATAAACGAAAGAACAAACAACAAAGCATTACCTCACTATTCCCCTTATGCTTTGTTTTGACAATTTAGTCAACATAATTGAGTATTTAGCGTAAAAAAAACCTCAATTATCATCATTATCAATACTAAAAAAATACACTCAAGTAGTTTTAATTAAACTACAAATTTATCAAATTTTGGACCATTTGATACGATCAACAAAATTTTTAATTTAACCATTATTATCGTATTTTTTATATTTTTCTAGACACAAGAGACAAGATATCTATCTAAAAAGTACACTATTATAAACTATTTTTCACTTTTAATACCATAGACTCAATCTTTATACTTCAAAATATAATCACCAAATCCTTTAAAGAAGGAAAAAAACATAAAAAAGACCAAAAAGAATATTTGAACAAAACATTGTCAAATGATTCGTCAAAACAGAGTGGGACACAATAGACAGACCCAATTCAATTCAATCTGAAAAAACAAACAAAACAAAAATTTCCCCAGCAAAAAAAAAAATTAAAACTTTACCTTAAACGAAACACAAATTTTGTCCACATTGCCATCCTCTGCTTCATTAATCACCTCCACAGCCTCGGAGCTAACCGGACAACGGAATATCAAAACCTCGCCGGCGGCGGTTTCCGGCGGCTGAATCGTCGTCGGAGTTGGAGAAACTTCCGGCACGAAAATCCCCAGTAACTGGTCCATGATTGTAACCGCTCCTTCATTTGCAGGCGGGGATCTCGATGGGTTTGGAATTGAGTGATTTGGCCTGCAAGTGAAAATAAAAGGGATTTAAAGAAAGAAAGAAATTAGAAAGTTAATTGAATTGAATTGAATGTAATTTGTTTGTTTGTGTTACCTTGGTGGGGAAGTGAATACTGGGAGGGAAGGGAAAGAAATGTTATTGAATGTGTGAGTAATGTGAATGGATTTCAGAGGCTTGATGGGAGAGAGGGTGTTTATGAAGTTGAAAACTGGCGAATCCTGCAGTGAAGGAGATCAAACAGAGAATTTCGTTACTGTAAACGCTATGAAAAAAAATTTACCAGATCTCCAGAAATTTGGTGTTAAAAAAAAAGCCCCAATTCAGAAACTTGAGAAGAGAACTCCCGATTCCAAATTACAGAACGAGAAAATGGAGAAGAGTTAGACCTCGAATTTGGGGTTGTGGGTGTTGTCTGGAGTGGTGTCCATTATTGTTGAGTCGACTCAGTAACTCGGCGTAAAAATCAGTGGTTTGTTCATTGTGAGGCGTTGATGGAGAAATGAAGAAGAAGAAGAAGAAGAAGAAGCGGGAAAGTGAAGTGGGATAACGCAAAGGCTACCATTCAATTCTTCTCTCTCTCTCTCTCTCTCTCATCTTTTGAAAAAGTAACGCCTCCACCGTTCTCTTTTTTAACTGTGCCCTTCGATTTCCCGGCCCAAATTTTTCCCTTTTTCATTTTTCTTAATATAATTTTCTTTTTATTTCCGGAGCAGGTGGTCCAATACCTGTACATACGTAAGAGGACCATTGTTTGGTAGGGGTTGCATCATGTGACTTGAACTAGTACAACTGTAGGGAGAAGTTGATCGAACTCGATCTTTTGTTCGGATAATTTGTTAATATATATATATATATATATATATATCCATTGAATTATATTTATATTGATATTTTGAATCAACTTGAACTTAATTTAATTATATATGTGATTATAAAACTTCTTTGATTGTTTGTATTTGAATCCTCACCTATTTGTTTGAACTCAAAATAATATTAATGGTTATGTTGATGTCCAAAATGAGCATAGCTCATCATCTGGATCATGATTATGTTGTCACCAAATATCTGCTCATTCAATATATTTACCTCAACTAGTCTATGTAAGTCCAGTTATTTTCAACGTCACATTGATACTCATATTCGAAGTCATGTTATTACCAACTTAAACCTAGCTCAACTGGTTAAGGTTTATATTCCAACTGAAAGGTACGTAGATTTGTGACATATTATCAATTATTTGCTTCTCTGCAGATTGCTAGTACAAATTCAGTCTAAATTTAAAACATTGCCTTATATAAATATTGTACTTGACTGTGTCATTTTTAGATACTTTGTTAAAATTAACTTATATAACAAATAATAAAATAAATAAATTAAATTTATGAAAAAGTTGAAATAGTAATGATAAAAATATGGACAGCGTTGAAAGAAGGGTTTGGTATCTATATACGGCTACAAATGATTAAATCCAAGTTGACCAAGTCTTAAAAGTAAAACCTCCAACATGGACAAACATTTGGGGGACAATTTCGTAATTTCATCACTTTTCTTTTGCTCTTTTATTTGTCAGTTATGATTCTTCTGACTTGGTACTGAAACTGAAATCCTAATTATGTGTGTGATTTATGAGAAATTATTTTAAAATGATTATACGTAATTAATGGTTAATAGCAATGATTGATGGAGAAAAAAACGTCTCTAATTAAAATAATATTAACGTCTTTTTTTTTCTTTTATAAGGATTTAAACCGATAAGATTTTAATTTGAGATATGTGTCTTTATCAGTTGAACTATGTTCAAATTGACGTGTCCTAATCAATTTAAATGTTAGCGCTTTAATTAAAAGAATATATAATTACATGCTATAAAATTATTATACTAAGATTGTATTCTCTTAATCATTCACGACAAAAGATATTATATTTTTTTAATTATTTTTCTTTATGATTATTTTTAGATGAGTATCTATAGTACTAGCATGATTCAAATTATCTTTTTCACCACTTTCAACCATTTCAATTGTCTAAATAAGTTTTTGTCAAAAAAAAATGTCTAAATAAGTAGTCACATCAGCAATACTAGTCTATCCGATGCGAAGATAATTCTAGGTGATTCATAGACTTGCCTTTGGCTAATTAAATTAAGACGCTCCCTTATCCAAATGAGTCATAGCTCAAATACATGTGAAACAAGAAAATTGTAAGACCTACAAAGTCTAAAAAGTTTCAAGTCACATGAACCTTAGTGCTAGACGAGACTAATTCATTTGTAGTTAATGACATGTTCTTGTGTTATATGTCGAGTTATAAGAATGTTGCACCTTAAACCATCCATAGTCATGTCAAATTATTGTGACATCGTAACAAATCAAAATTACAATTATGACCAAGCAACCCCTGCCCAGTTAAACTCTATCAGGTTATGTCATGGTCAATTTAGGTTGAATATATAAAATCTGCAAACAAAATCGATTGATCCATAATAGATTGAACCATGAGAACGAATCAACAGGGCTATCACCTTCTTTGGCCAGATCTTCCAACCTTTTCACAATCACAGTTCACTTCATCCTTTACCTCGTAAATTCGGTAAAGTTGCTTGTTGGTTTTTCCATCATCCAATCCACAACAAATCGAATGAAACCTGGCGAAAAATAAGTGAACACTTTGCTGAGGTACGAAGCTTCGTGTTTGTTTTTCTTCAAACCCCTAATCCTCTTTCGCTCGCCGCTACTAACAAGGCCTATAAAGACAATTATCTACATTGGTATAAGACCTGTTAGGCAAGATCAAAAGTAAAGTAGACAATATCAAATAATACCGTTGTCCTTAACCATCATGACCCTAGATATTACTCTTACTCTATCCATCTACAAGGTTGTTCCAATTTCAAAACTAACAGGTAACTGGTTTAATTTAAACAAAAATTAAAGGATGGAATGGAAGTAAGTAAAAGTTTGGAATACAAAATTGCAAAGGGGAATGAAACTCTTTTCTTTTTTTTCCCCCTTTTACAAAAGAAATCCAGATTCGTAAATCGTAAATTATAATAAGCAAAAGACATAAAAATCGGACGACAGATCGTCAGACGTTGGGTTTTGGCGGGCGACAGATTTCAAAGCCAATTTAAGGACGTGGGAGAGTGGGCGGGCGCGTGTAGGGTATGCGTCCTTCTTAATTAAGGGGGAGGGTCCTTAAACTCCAAGGGCAGACATCACGTGACCCACCACATTTATTTCTTGAATTTATTATTATTATTATTATTTTTTGTTTCTCTTGGGGGACGAAACACTAACTCCCACATTCTCTGAGGAAAGAGGTGGACGCGTAATTATGGTGTCCACCTCATGCGTATTTACTCCATCACGTGCTTTTTCTCACCATTTTTTTCTAATTTTTATTTTTATTTTCAAATTTTGACTGACATGTCGTTCCAGGGTAGCACGACATGGTTCTTTCATCTTTTCCGTTTGGATTGGATGGTTAAAAATTAAAATATTGTATTTTAGAATCTAAGCTTTTGATTAATGGAATAAAGTTCGAAGTTGACCGAATAGTGTACAACTGGGCTGGATGGCAATTCATGTTGTCACGGTGAGAAATTACCCTTTTGTCATCCTATTGATAGGAGTGAAAAATTATATTCATGGATGGACATATATCATTAATATATTTGATAGAATCTATTACCAATTTAATTTACCATTGGTGTGATTTATTGGTGATAGAAGCTATTTTAGTATTTTTGATGAATAAGTTTGGGCGGACCTTTTTTTTTAATTTAAAATTTTGTTCCTATGTTTCAAATTATTTAGACTTATTTTGCGACATGCACGTGCCTTTGTTATTTGTATTATTAATCTTTTCAGTACAACAAATTGAGGATATGAGGGGATCGAACTTCCCACATCGAGGGAAGAAGTATATGTTAATTACCGCTGAATTATGTTCATGTTGGCGTGTCTTTCTTATTTATTCTAATATTTTAAGTCTCAACATTTTTTATAGCCTCGTTTGAGATTTGGTATATAATTAGTTAATTTTTTTAATAATTAAAATTTATGTGAAGGGTCAATATGAACTTAGTTTAGTGGCACCTATCTCCGACCAAGAGGTCATGAGTTCGAATCCCCCCTCCCACTTATCATACTAAAAAAATATAATCTAATCTTAGAGACACTTTTGCTCTGAATCGGCTCCACCAAACTTGGCCCATTGGGCTACGGGTGTTTGTTAAGATGAAGTGCTAACGGCAGCCCAACTCATAATTTATGGGCTTGGTTGGGTTGGATTATAACATTTTGAGATTTGGCTCATAATCAAATTCTTCTCTTTATCAGTTGAACAAATTTAGGTGGATCCAACATATGTTTGAAGAACTCTCAAACAAATAAGTTTGGTAATCCTTCTTAAACTTTTATAACATGATCAACAATTTTCTTCTTCTCCTTCTTCTAAGCGTCTCCATATTCAATCAAATTAGTTACTAAAACTCTAATTATAATTGGTTGGGAGGTACCAACCTGAACGTAGTTTAATTGGTTAAAACATATAACATTGATCAAAAGTCGTACTGTGAACTCCACCCCACGTGTTGTTGCACTACTAATTTATAAGATTTTTGTTCCTTTGACTTTTGAAAATGAAATATAGGGATCAGGGCAAAAATTTAAGTCTAAATCTCATTTTCTTATCACATATAAATAATTTTTTTATGTATGAAAAATTGACAATGTCAAATTATTTTAAATCAAGCACTGCTTTCAAATGACAAAACTAAAAAAAAAAAAAAAAGTGGTTTCCTCGTCGGACAACAAAAGCATAAAGGGAGCGAATACGATTCCTCTTTTACTTGTCTGCCATTTTCACGGCCATTATCTGATTATATGTTTAAATTACTAATTTCTCCAAACTATTTTTTGTCAAACTAATATTAATAAAAATAACAAATCGTATAAATTTGAGTATAATTTAATGAATAAAACACTAGTTTATTTTTACTAAAGTTAAACGTTAATCTTTCACAGTTAGCAATAAAGGAAAGCTTCATATTTGTTCAAATTTTAGATCTCACCAAAATAATCTATGAATCGGATTGTTTGGAAGCGATTCATCTTATCTTGAGAGAGAATAAGATTTGGCTAAAAAAATATCTCGAGGAAGTGGTTGTTGTGCATGTTGTATCGCATATCAAAAGAATCGATTTCATCTCACTCCTCTATTTTATTGTCTTCAAGCTATTCTTAATACTTTTTTCATTCCTTATATCTTTGTCGCATTTTAAATATAGTTCGAGTGACTTTTATCTTTCAATGAAATTTTCTCTTTTTCAAAAAAATAATCTCCCAATATTATATCATAAAAAATAAATAAAAATAATACTTCCACTTCTATATTCATTATCTACTTAAATTTATAATTTCCTATTTTTTTTTCTAAAAAAAGCAAAACTGTACGAGTAAATTTTTATGAAACAAGAAAGTGAATAAGAGTATGTTTGGGAGTGATTTTAGTCTCACCAAAATTATTTTTCTCATTTTACGTATCATTGTCAAACATTAGTGTTTCAAAATAAAAATTATTTTGACAATGATAAAAGTGATTATAGTCGTGGTAGAACTATTTCCAAACCTATTCTTTAATTAATATTTGACAATAATATACAAATAATAAATTTATGAAATTTAACTGCACCAACATCGCTCTCAAATCCGTCCTAAATATAAATGATTCGTATCATTGAAGAGAATATAGTGTCAATAATTGTTGTGTCCCACTTCTCCTCAGAAAGGCTTTGTGAATTTCCATTTTTTTCCATGCAAATCAGATCACCTTATCTTAATTTAACCATCGTCTAACTCATTCAGAAGAAAATCAAAGAAAATAGATAATGGATATGGAACGCAAATTCTATCACCTTTTTATGGCTAAATTATAGGTATGATCTCGAAATTTTTAAGTTGGTGTGTAATAAATCTCTATTTTTTTTTTTTACAAATATTTAATGGGTTTTTAGGTTTATGAGTCTTTAAACTTTAAAGATAATCTAATAAACTTTATGAATTTTGCTCTTATAAAGTTTATTAACTTATAATTTTATATATCTAAAACATATTATAGGTGAGAAACTTATTAGAGATAAAATAAAAATTCAAAGATCTACCCTGACACTACAAAATTTAGAGACCCTTTTTAAAAATTTATGAATCTACTATTTTTTTTAAATATAACAAATAACACAAGTATTTTGTATTGTGTCCAACCTCCCTCTTTTTGTAGATTTTCAAAATTTTGTATTAAACGCATGGCCGTAGCGTCCGGTTGTTGGTAAGGAGTGTCGGCGGGCGGTACTCACACAAGTAAGTAAAGGACTCCACTTGACTAGTAATGAAAAAGTCCTTTTACTCAAATAAATAGTTGGAGTTTTAAATGATTTTAAACCGAAGAAATTAAACTTGTGATTTAATGTTTTTTTAATTAAAATTGATATGAGTGAAGATTAAAAAATATATCAAATTCTTACCAATAGCATATCAATTATTATTATTATTATTATTATTATTTGCAAAGGTCATATCAATTATTTGATCATATAGTCAAATTTGGAGGAATAGAGTCAATTTATGATGATGAAGAAGAAGAGTAGAAAACAAAGGAGGAAACAATGCAATATGGGAAGAGACACTTTGAAAATAATTTATAATTTTTCAATTTCTTATAGTTATATTCTAAAAAATAAATAAAAATAATAAAAGTAAAGTGACGTGTGCTTGTTTTTGTTTTGTTTTTCTTTTTTTGGTTTCTTGATATTCAATAATTTTGAGAATATCCATCGTTTATTTGATAAGAAATTGATGTGGACGGTTGTGCGACCCGATACATTCTGTTATGCTCCTGCCTATCTGTGGGGCCATAAAGTGGAGAGAGAACAGAATTGAAGGATGGGAGTTTTTTTTTTCTTTCTAAATATTATTTTGCGCTTATAATTTCAATTTTTTGAAATGTAATTTTAAATGGTTTATTTTAGCTTCTAAACTTTCAAAATATCATTTTAATATAAATTAATGTAAAATAAAACCTATTAATACAAAATCAAGACTAGATTTTAAACATTTTATTAAATAATGTATCGATTTGAAATTATAATAAAAACAATAAAACGACTCACGATCATTTTTTTATAAATAGAGAGATCAAATCAACAAGGTACTGAAATTTAGATTGAAATAGATAAAAATTACCATTACAATTACTAAAATAAATATTTTGAAAAATATTATTTAAACAATTTTTCTTTTAGATAGAGACAGCGAGCTTTTACAATTCACGAGGCCTATTGGAAAATTTTGACATTTTATCTCTCGTGAAATAATCACATTCACTTGACCCAATCGTGATTAAAGAAAAAAAAAGTATTCAACGTAGCATATATTGATCTAAAGGGACTAGGATTAATTAGGAAGGAATGAGTTCAAATCCCATGATGGCCACCTACTTTAGGAATTAGCAATTCTTATGACGTAAGTTGGTCCGGACACTTACAGATATAAAAGCTCAACTAATTAAGATACATATTTTCAAATAAAAAATTGTGGGTTCGAATCCTACATTTTGTACTAAAAAAAAGTATTAATGGTTAATTTAAAAAGAAATTTGCACTGTATTTAGAATTTAGATTAGGGAAAGTAAACCTATCTTAAACAATCTCATCCTCACTTTATTAGAAAATGGAGTTCTTTCTCCGCAAGAAAAAGACATGAAATTTTATTTAAAAATAAAAAAAATTAAGAAAAAGACATGAAATATGGGCAATCAAAGAAGGATAATTTTAAGAAATATTTACTTTTTCAGTTTTATATTAATTTCGGGTACAATTGGAAGAGAACAAGAAAAAAGTGCTGAATCAAAACTTATATTTTAATAAGAAAAATGCTTTTAAGCTAGACACGTGTCAAACCCTGGAAACTCAAGTAGGTATGCGTGTCGTATTACTTTTGTGTGTGTGACCTAAGACTGGTTGGATTCTATCCATTTAAATAAAAAAAATAAAAAAGAAAACAGTGCCACGTCAATTTATTTTCCAGCTAATTTTGGTGCTAATATTTGGAGGATTAGACTTTCCTACACGGCATTTTATCTGTCTGAGCTGGTGATCTTTACAGCTAAAATTTAAGATTATTCTTTTTTGTTTTTTTGAGTATAATAAGTGAGGTGGGAATTCGAAATCATGATTTTTTAGTCAGAAATAATTGAAAATTATCGCTAAACTAAACTCATGTTGCTATGATATCTTTAATCTTTGATTCCTTCGACAACAATAATATATAAATTGTGAGGTTGAAATTCTTTTTAACAATTTATATGGAGAAGAAAAAAATATTCATTTTAACAATATTAAACATTTAGAGTTTTATTCAATAATTAAATTATCATTTTTTTGAACCACGACTTTTTAATTAGAGGTATGTGTCATAATCAGTTAAACTATATTTAAGTTGGTATTTTATTTAGTGTGGTGTATACGCTCAATTTTTTTTTGTTTGATTCTTAAATGTTAATTATGACAAAATGGTTAATTAATTGTCCAATAGCTATACAAATTAAAACAAAATGGTGTGTCCTACTCATTAAAAATTCATCTTTGCCAATTCCAGCTTTCATTTATATGATCATCAGTGGATCTCAGTCAAGAGGTTGTAAGTTCAATCCCCACCCTCACATGCTGTACTAAAAAAAATTACAATTTAAAAAATTTGTTTTTTTCATAAAATTAATATGAGGTGGAGAGATTTAAACCTTAAACTTTAAATATCTTAACTACTAAGCTATGTTCATATTGACAACAATATTTTATCGAGTAGAATTATTGTATATAGTTTAGTTTTTTTAGTACTATGAGACATTCAACTTTCAATTCTAAGAAAATGAGTATATTTTATTTACCATTTATTATGCTCCCAGTTATAATATAACTTTACTCCCATTATCTATCACTGATTGGATGTTAAAGTACATTTGCTTAATTAAAAATGGAATACAATCAATTTTAATTTTAAACAACAAAATAAATACTTTATAAATACTTTGATCAATCGTATAAAGTATCTCTTATATGTTTTCTTTCTCAGATAATTATGTGTATCCATACTCTTTATTTAAAAAAAAAGTAAATAAATAAAAACCACGTGGACGTATACTCCCACGTAGTGATATCCTAATTTTCTTTAGAAGAACATTTTAAAAGAAATGACCCATTTTATTTAGGTCGTATATATATGCATAAAATCGTTTTGATACTTTAAATTTTGGCTTGATACTTCAATTTTGTACTTGGTATCTTTTATAATTATCAATTTTACCCTTAAATATATTAAAAGTTATCAATTAAAAAAAATGTTAAAGTTGTTAATACAGCACATGACATGTGCTGATCTAAGTAATAAATTAACTTGTCCAAACATGTTAATAAAATTGATACTTTAACGACATATTAACTATTGATTAATAAACCTCCAATAATTTTTTTTAATACAATAATACGTGACGGTGGAGATTCGAATCCACGACATTTTAGTTTTAGTTATTGAATAAAATTTTTTATATTCAAAATAAAAAAGTTCCAAAACTTAAAAGTTAAATCAAGAATTTAAAAAATATTTTAGTGTCAGATATCTAGTCTTAGGAGTTGGAATGGTAACTTCTAGATTATATTATATATACACACACGAAATGTAATTATTGAAACACAAATGGCATGAATGGAGAGAGCCGTGGGAAATTTTTAACCACAGTAGGGGCGTTTAGGTAATTTCGACATATGTACCTCTGGCTATAAAAGCTTCGAGAAAATTTGCTCGAGTGGCAAGAGCAAGAGCGAAAAGCAGGCCAGTAGTTCCAGCCGAAAGCATGGGTAAAGAAACTGCTGAAATGGCTACCTTCATGACCGATTTTCTCCGGCAGTGCGGCGGCTGCGCCGTCGTAGACGGCGGCTTCGCCACTGAACTGGAGCGCCACGGCGCCGATCTCAACGATCCTCTCTGGAGCGCTAAATGCCTCATCAGTTCCCCTCACCTCGTCCGACGGGTACTATTCGAATCCATAATCTCATATAATTTTTCCGATTGGAATTTGATTCTTCGCTTCAGTAGCAGTACATTTCCTGCGGCGTTCCTCGTGAAACAAGAAATTTGCCTTGATTTTGGATTATCTAGGGCATAACTTCAAGAGATTGTTATTTGCTGTCTGAATCTTATTTTTAGAAATAAACTACTATGAAGGAAATTGTTATCTAATCTTTAAAAAGCTTGTTTATTTTTTCCCTAAAGTTTTGCTACTATTTAAAAAAAAATGGTAGTAAATTACTTTATCCCTAAAATTGCAGTATCTCCTTCCTCCGTTCATTTCTTAAAATATATATATTATATTAATGATTGACGTATTTTAATAAATTAGAATGGAATTTAGTAATAATTTTTATTAGGCAAGCAACTGTTGTTTCTATTTTTAGTAATGCATTATCCCTTGATATATGTGCTTCGTTCTGGGCCGGATAACGGATCGGTTGCCGTAGGCCCAGTATGAGGATAGACGGCCCAACCCTTTTCAAATAACAAACAATTTTTTTTAATATTACAAATCAATAATAAGAAAGAAAATGTTATAGAATGAAGAATTTATTAACGTATGTTTGGTTTTGAAGCTAAAAGGGATTTTTTTTTTTTTTGGCAATTCCTTATTTGAAAATTATATTTAAGAAATATTTATTAGTCTATTCTTATTTTGTTTAAAGCTTATCTAGTACTATCGTGCATATGAATAGTTCACAAAACTATGACTCGGTTCATTTTTCTTATCAAAAAGTTTTAGCTTAAATTTTTTATTTGAACATTTTTTAAATATTACGTGGGTGGAGAGGTACATATGCCTAACTTTATTTTCTTCTTTTTTTTCTCTCTTTAGATTACATAGGCCTTAAATTTTTTTTTCCCTGACTTCTTTTTTTTTTTTTTTTGAAATATTCCCTGACTGAACATAGGCCTTAACTTTTGAACATTATCATAGTTGGTAATTGACTGTTACATGTTGATGTGAAACTTACGTCTGTAAAAAGGGAGAAAGAGAAATCAAATAAAAGTTTTTGCTTTCTTTTGAGCAATCTTCTCAGGGCTTATTTATTGCACTATGCCTATCTTTCAAAGCACCACTTTCAAAATATAACAAAGCTTTTAAAGAAAATGTATAGTTTTTGAAAATTTTACTTCAATTCATTTGTTTGATTTTCCGGGTATGCTTTAAAATTGTTTCTCCATCAGCTAATGATCTGCTTTAATATGACAGGTTCATTTAGACTACCTTGATGCTGGGGCCAATATCATTTTGACAGCATCTTATCAGGTTCCTTGGCATTTTCAGTTTTTCCTTTTGAATCTTTTCTCCACCCTATTTCACTGTTATAATAAAATCATTTTACAGCTTGTAATTGTTAAATTGCCTCTCACATGGACTTGCATATTAGTTTACCTCATAACTCTTAAGATTCAACCACTATCACTATTACTTGAGAATTGAGATCTAAAACCTTGAAATTATAAGTTTAGTCCTCGGATTTAAAAAAATGTCTAATAGATTAGGGATTTATTAAATACTGTCAGGAATCTATGAGATGTCGTCCTAAAAATTTATAGTTTAACCTTGATTTAATCATTTAATATATTCTAACAGTTGTTAGGAATCCATGATTTCAATATGTATGCAGGCTACAATTCAGGGCTTTGAAGCTAAAGGGTTTTCTAGAGTTGAGGGTGAAGAATTGCTAAGAAAAAGTGTTGAAATTGCACTTGGAGCTCGTGAGATCTATCTTGAACAATGTACGAAGGATTCATGGGATTTCACTGGAAGTGGAGGGGGTTCGAGGAGGCCAACTCTCGTAGCAGCCTCGGTTGGTAGCTATGGTGCTTATTTGGCTGATGGGTCTGAATACAGGTGAGCAAACTTTTAGCCTTATTTTAGTTTGAGTTTTACTATTTGCAATGTTGGACTTCAATGCTTGTAAGAATTATCCTATCAACTACTTCGCTAGGAAAAAATGATTTCAGCCTAAAGCCTTTGGTCCATTTTCCCTTTTTATATACATATATACCTAATTCTTTTTTTACGGTTGTACCTTGCCTTTTTACAGTGGGAAGTATGGTGATTCAGTTACTCTAGAAATGCTGAAAGATTTTCACAGGAGAAGAGTGCAAATTTTGGCCAACTCAGGTGCTGATTTGATTGCATTTGAGACGATTCCAAACAAGTTGGAAGCTCAGGTATGGAAAATGCTGTTATAAACTTGCAGCATTGGGCCACCATTTATCAACAACCCATTGGCAGGGTTCCAGTTTAGCTTCTTTATGCTGCTTATGTGGAATTTGCATTGCAGGCATATTCTGAGCTTCTTGATGAAGAGGGCATTGAAATTCCTGCTTGGTTTTCTTTCAACTCCAAGGATGGAATCAATGTGGTTAGTGGGGATTCTATATCTGACTGTGCCTCCATTGCAGATGCTTCCAACCAAGTAGTTGCTGTAGGAATCAACTGTACTCCTCCCAGATATATTCATGGGCTAATCTCGTCGATTCAGAAGGTAAATTCTGATAATACCATCCCACGACTTCTCTTATATAGGAGTTGTAAAATTGTCATAACACATCTTCATCATCTAACCTGTATCAATCAATATATCATGACAAAGAAAATATAGCCAACCTGAGCATGATTGTGATAATTCAATTGGTTAAGGCATACGTGCTCAATTAAAAAGAGGAGTCTCCATCCCCAAATATCTTTAAACTCAAAGAAAAAAAGATAAAGAGAATATAATGGAGTACAAAACAGATCCAAAGAAGTTGAAATAAGATCTGCCCGCAAATGACATCTTTAATAAATTTGAGGGTTGGAACTAGTGTGTGCTGGATGAATTCCATTCAACCTCCCTTCATGGACAATACCAAGATTTGTCACTTAATGAAAATAATATAAGTTAATTTGGTTATCTGATTGGCAGGTCACTAACAAACCAATAGTGATTTATCCAAACAGTGGGGAGACTTATGATGGTGTGACCAAACAGTGGTTGGTGAGTTTTCTGCTCTTTTACGGTCTCATTCCTTCATGTCAATGTATACCGAAGAGCAAACCGAGAAACCCGTGAGGGTCAGGTTCGCTCTTCCTCATCCCGTTGCCCTTGTCTTTGTTTTCTGTTTCTCCTCTGAACAATTGTGGTTGCTTCTTTTTTTGCTGCAGAAATCTGACGGAACGATAGAGGAAGACTTTGTATCATATGTAAGAAAGTGGAAGGAAGCCGGAGCTTCTCTGTTTGGTGGGTGTTGCAGGACCACTCCAAAAACCATCAGAGGCATAGCAAAAGCGCTTTTTTATAAAACTTTTTAAGCTGTTTCCCTCCATTTACGAGCTTTGGTATGTATTACACCCAACATCAGACAACTTCTCTCCATCCCTCTCTCTTACTCTGAGTTGTAAAAAGGAAAATAAAGGCTTGTTTATAACACAAGTGTTCGAAGGAAACCCGAAAGCTGAAACAATGCGATCGGTAGTTTGAAATTACAAGATATATCTGGTCGTTGGGGAGCAGTCACATTCAATTATCTTCCAAATAGAGATTTTGAACTCTAAGATGTCTTGTTAACTATTAAATTTAAAGATAAGGTTTGTTGTTAGGTGTGATATAGCCTAAATAATCATGATCTTCAAGAGAGTGATGGTGTAATTATGTATAACATTTGAAACTTTTGTATGTTCTAAGGATTTCTTTTTTCCCTTTCTTTCACAGATTTCCATGTTTATGACAAGTGCTCAAGTATTCACAAGCTTCTTGAGGATGCAATAATTTGAAATGATTGATGGTTCCATTTGCAAACCACCAAATGCAAACTGTGTCCCAAAACCAGAAAGGAAAAGAGAAGCCCATATGCTTGAAGACAAAGGCAAGCAATTCAATTCCAAGTCTCTGCTCCTACTTTTGACTGCCTAATTAAATCTTTATGATTTGGCTTTAGATTCTCTGAGAGGGAAAGTGAGAGCCCATGTTGTTGGGTTCTACAGCAAAATAATTTTTTTGGCCAAGCCTGGTTGTCCTACTGGTAGAGCCAATATATTTTATGCTCTTGTTTGTATCAAAAGTTAATTAAAAAATATTGCCTAATGAATTTTCTCCTGTAATAGAAATATGATGCTGCATGGTTGATGGTATTTGAATTTAGTGAGTCTTTCAAGAGTTACAGGGGCGGAATGTTTGGAGTATGGGTTCGACATATTAAGCACGAGAATTATAAGGACTTTGAAAAATTATGTTATGTTTAGAAAGTTGAAATTTAAGAAAATTGTACGAGAAAGTAAGTTTGGGGTGCAAGTTAGGGCTACCGTAGAAATTCATGGATTTGTCCCATAAATTTCAGGCTTCACAAACTTACGGGACAAACATGGTTGTACCAATATTGTTTCAAGTTTAAATCACCCAGATTTAAATCCTCATCCCAAACTCTGACACAATTTAAATTTTTGTTATGGGTTCAAAATTCAAGTGAATAAAATTATTATCTAAAGAGGGGATTTGGGTCGGATAAAAAATGTTTTTAGTCCATTGAAAGCACTTTTCCAAATTTTTCTTAGCTTATGGTTGGGTAATATTAAAATACACTGAAATAAGAGAAATATTTTATTAGCTAGCATTGTTTCTAAAAAGTATTCTCAATAATAAGTTCTTTCATTTAAAGGTGTGGGATAAAATTACTATATGTGACTTTAACATGAGATAATAAAGATTTTGTATCAAATTGTTAAATTTTATTTAGTAATGTAAAAAGAACTTAAATGTACTCCATACTAACGTAAAAAGATTGAGTTCTATACGTTTGAAAGGAAAGGTTTTATAGTTAGATTGTATATGAATGATATTTTTTTAAGATTCAAACATGCATATAAAACAATCTTTTACATTTTGAATTGCCAAAAACAAAAACAAGATTATATTTGAGATGATATTTCATGGAATATTTTAATTTTGAAGGCTAAAAAGAAAAGAAAAAAGAAAGAAAGAAGAAGATACAGAGAGAAGACTTCTTTAATTGTGAAAAACATGGCCCATTCTTTAGTTGATGTGATTAATCACTCAACATGATCTTTTCTTAAGAGATGCTGTTCAACCCAGACTTTTCTTTTCTCTTTGTTTTACATCCAAATAATTCTCTCAACACTCAGACAAGTCATGAAAAAAAAAAGAAGAAAAAAAAAAGAGAGAAAAAAAGTTTCTGATTTCATTCCATTTTCTTGAAGGATAATCAATCATTTTGAGTTGATTAGACAGCATTTCTTGATATGAAAACAATGGAGATCCACTCATTACACTATCGAACGTGAGTGTCTATTTCTCAAGTCAGACCACTTTAAAAAATAGAAAATAAAAGTTTGAATTGAGATTTTAATTTTTTTTTTCATTTGGTCACTGTTTAGCATTTTCTTTTTCTTTGTATTATCATTTGCTGTAGTTTTTCAACGTGAAAATTTGTTTCTTATGACATCACCTAACAGTAACGTGACAATGTTATATTTTGAGTTATGCTTGTTGTATCAATGTTAAACTTCTATGAAATGATTTTTTAAGTGAGCCGGCATCTTTATAAGAAAAAATTTGAATAAATTGTAATTGATCTTCGTTTAAGTTTCAAACAACTCACCAAATAAGGATCATGTAAGTTTATTATCAACTAATTATAACATCTACAGGTGAAAAGAGTGTTTGGAATATGATTTTAATGTCTTAAGCTTTAAGGGAAATGCTTAAGGTTTAGCTTGAGTTTCAGAAAATTTTATGATGGCTTAGAAAGTGGGGTACTATTCAAGAGTTTTCTCTTCCAACTAAAGTAGAACTCCTCTCCCAAATACGACTTAGGCTTAGAAAGTTGAACCGATATCTCAAGTATTTTTTGTCCTACCTCTATTTGTTGAGCTAAAAAAAACTGAGCATAATCTATTCCACCTAGGTCATTACATCAATTATTGGCCTGAATTTTTATTTGTTAGTTTGAATGGTATTATTTGAAATAAATGCAAAAGTGTGTTTTTTTTCTCAAAAAGGAAAAAAAAAAAAAGAAGAAGGCAGATGAGCATGAAGAAAGGATCTCCATATGAATATTGGTTGATGAGCTGATGAGTATATATTTAATATGGTGTCCCAGCGTTGGAATGTTCCACCATCAGCTCACTAAATTTTGTCGTCAGATTTTCAAGTTTGCTCCAACTGAATTGACCACTGATAAGGCTCAATAATTATGAGCTTTAGGAATAAACCCACAAGGAAAGCGACGCCCTTTTTGATGATATGCATACCAACAACACTCAATCAAATTACCCTCTCTCATCAAATTTCAACTAATCTCTCTCTTTCTCATTACATCTATGATCTAATCTTCTCAAAAACCCCTCTTTGATTACACATAATCATGTTTAGTTGAATTTCAGTGATCCTGCCTTTGAATTTTTTACTTAATCCAAGCTTCACGGTTTCTGAACCCTCAAAAATTCTTCTTCCATTTGGTCGAATTTGGGGTCTCCGAGAAGTTACTTGTACAGTGTTCAAAAGGGTATTCGAGAACCGCCTGAATTTATGTACAGAAGTAAAATTTGAGAGAATCCCAAATGGAGAAGGTAGAAGAACTGAGAGAGAAAAGCAAGATTTGTGGAATGTACCTATGGATTTGTTAAGTGGGTACCCCATATTGCAGCTAGAGCTTCGCGTTTGTGCCTTTTTGCAACTGGTTTGGTGGACCATAATGGGGAGAAGGAGGAGGAAGGAGATAGATGCAATCTCGCCTTCACTTCACTGGACCACTGGGGTTGAAATTTTTTCTATGGTTAAGAATGAAGAGATCCCTACTATTAAACCCCTCTGCCCCTCCCTCCTCCATTTTCTCTCTCTTTTCGCTCTCTATACTGTTCAACTTTGTACTTCACGGTTATTGGGGAGCGGCCCTCTTTTGCAAATCACAGAGAGTTGAAGATAAATCAGCTTCCATCTCTCTCCCTTCCCTTTTCTCTTAATTTTTACTGCATTGTCTTCTCCTGATTCAGAATCTGGCTCATCGCCTCTCATGCCTCCAAGTTTGTTTCCAGTCTCTCCCTATTCTGTTGAGAAGAATGCATTTGTCATTTTATTCTTCTGTTGATTGTTACTGGGTTTATTTTGCTGATTTGGGGGGACAACTGAGTGAACAGGGAAACTTTGGATTGCATGTCATTGTGTTCAACTTTAAAGGCTACCTTCCATTTGGGGGAGGGAAATCCTTCTCAGGGCTCGCTTTATCTCTTTCTTTCTTCTGACTACTGTTCATTTACCTAAAGAGAGCCCCAAGGAAGCAGGGGAAGCTGCATGAAGAATCAGAGGAACAATGAGCGATGGGAATTCGAAGAAAAACAAGGTGTTTCACTTTCTCTACTTTAAGCAAGTAATTTTCCTGATAGAAATTTTGACGTTAGTTTCTTTGCAATTGTTTGATTCAGCTCTCATGGTCAAAGAAGATGGTTACCAAATGGTTCAATATCAAGAGTAAAAGCGAAAGTGAAGATTATCAGGCAGATCATGGTGTTTATAGAGGTGATTCTCAAACGCTTTCGTTCTCCATAGTTTCATTATATGGTAGAAGATTTTCTTGGTTTGGGATCAGAGATTTTTCTCCTCTAATACCACAGTAGTAATATCATCTCAGATCTTGTGTTGGTATCCTTGTTGAATCTCAAATCCGAATGTATGATTCTACTACACTGCTATATCGGTTTCTTGTTTCTCTTGATTTCCGTTGTACACAAATCTCAAATTCACAATTGACATGTTTTCTGAAACCAAATAAGGAATTTAGATATTTGCCTTGTCGCGATTATACCGTCCCCTTTCATACAGCTCTCAAATTAGTTATAGTAATGGATTATCGGTGTTAGAAGCTGAGATGGTAAAAGGTTCATGTGCTAATAGTGTCTCCCTTGTCCAGGAGGTGATGTTGAGTACAGGACAAGCATCTCAGAGAAAGAAAATTACAATTGTGAGAAAAGCAGAACAGGTTCAGTATTATCAATCTGTCATTTCATTTTTAAACCAATACACTTTTTAAATCCTTGAATCATTTTGCGCTTTTTCTCTGTCAATCTTACCCCACAGATAAATCTAGTAAGAACATTGAGCATATCCAGAATGGACATATGAATCTCAACAATCCTCGTATTGTAGACGTACAGAACTATAGGTGTATATGATTCTTTCCTTTTAAAGCATTGGTTTACATGTTTTTGTTGATCTGTAACTATAACTCCTCCGTTTGTTTTGGGAGCAGCATTTTTGTTGCTACATGGAATGTTGGTGGCAGATCCCCTCCTAGTACTTTAAGTTTAGAAGACTGGCTTCATACCTCAGCCCCTGCAGACATTTATGTACTGGGGTATGAATCGATTTGTTACATCTAACCCTGCATTTTCTGCCAAATTTTTTCAGTTTCAGCTCTTGATTTCTTTCTAAACTGAAACTGAAATTATTATGATGCCGTGATTTATGGTGTGCACACATACTAGCCTGAAACACCTAGGGTTGTCAAAAAAGACAACTTAAAATTTCATCCACTTCTACTATGCCTTTCAGATTTCAAGAGATAGTACCACTGAATGCTGGTAATGTGTTGGGCGCAGAGGACAATGGCCCTGCCAGAAAATGGCTGTCCCTAATTCGGAAAATGCTAAACAGTCATCCTGGAACCAGTGGAGTTGAAGGGTGCTACATGCCATCCCGCATCCCGGAACCAGTTGTAGAATTAAATGACGATTTTGAAGAGTCATTGAGGCTCAAGAACTCATCTTTCTTTCTTCGTCCATCTTTTCATACAACTAATAACTGGAAACCATCTAATGACCCATCAACTGCACTGCCTCAACTTGATGGAAGATTCAGCATCTCTAATCATGTAATCCTTGATCACCGGCCTAGTGACTATGAATCTAGTTTCAGATGGGGACACCGGCTAAGCAACTATACCAGGCAAAGTGATTATTGTAGGCAAAGCAATGAATCAAGGCCAAGTGACTATTCAAAATGGGGATCATCCGAAGATGATGGATGCCTTGGGGATTCAACAAGTGATGCTGTATTCTCACCACCATTATATGGTGGATCCACATCCAAGGAGGACGGACGCAGGATGGGACATCAGTATTGCTTGGTTGCTAATAAACAGATGGTTGGCATTTTTCTCACAATATGGGTCAGGAGCGAATTGAAGGATAGCATACGAAACATGAAAGTATCTTGTGTTGGTAGAGGATTGATGGGTTACCTAGGAAATAAGGTATCAATTTGAGTAGGTATAGTATTTTGCATCTTTTTATGGTTCCCCAGAAGTATGGAAGAACTTGTTATTAAGTAAATTACTATATTATGCATGTTTACTACAGGGATCCATTTCAATCAGCATGTCTTTGCATCAAACAAGCTTTTGCTTCATCTGTAGTCACTTAACATCTGGAGAGAAACAGGGTGATGAGTTGAGAAGGAATTCGGATGTAATGGAGATACTGAAGAAGACCAGGTTTCGGTGTGATCGAGGCTTACCTCATCAGAAGTCACCACAAACAATATTTGAGCATGAGTAAGATCCTTACCCTCGAGTGTCCAGGTTTTCATGTGTTGAAGTCATGAACCATAAATACCTATTTTCCATGTCATTCAATCAGTTTGATGTTATTTGTCTACCAACATTGTCTTTAGTAATTTAACAATGCATGAGTTGATCTTATGCAGTCGAATTATTTGGTTTGGGGATTTAAATTACCGAATCGCCCTTTCTCACCGCTCTGCCAAGGCACTTGTTGAGATGCAAAATTGGAGAGTATTGCTCGAGAATGATCAGGCATGTATATAACTCTTCGTGTGACACTGTAGTTTTTGTGTTCTAAATGCTTTGTTCTTCTTGGTATCCTTCGTAATAGAACTTTTTGTTTGACCATTCCTTTCTTTCCAGCTACGAAATGAGCAGAATTGCGGCCGAGTCTTTGTGGGATGGAATGAATGCAATATATATTTTCCACCCACTTACAAATACTCAAATAATTCAGACCAATATTCAGGGGACGGTATATACCGAAAGGAGAAACGTAGGACTCCTGCTTGGTAAGAACACCTTTCAAGCAAAATGGGCAAATTTGTTTAAATTTATCCCACATGCTTGATAAATTAATAGAAAGCAATGATACAGGGAGATGGGAGAAGAAGCTCATTTGCAATTTTTAGTGCACCTACCAGAATCTTTATATCTATCTGTTGATTTGTATTTGAAGGTGTGATCGGATTTTGTGGTATGGAGAAGGTCTCCAACAGTTATCCTATGTCCGGGGTGAGTCCCGGTTTTCAGATCATAGACCTGTTTATGGCATATTTTGTGCTGAGGTTGAGTCAAATCATGGCCAATTGAAAAAAAACATGAGTTCTAGTTCCAAGATTGATGTGGAGGAGCTCCTACCACACTCTCATGGATATACTGAACTCAACTTCTTCTGAAAGTTTTTTGTGTAAGCTCTCTCTCTCTCTCAAAGAACTGTGAATGTGAGAGGTCCCAGTTTATCTCAGCATGGTTCTTTTTACCTGCAGAAACCCACTCGAAGCGCTTACTCTCTCTTCGCCACAAACCAACTATGAAAGCAACCACAAAAGCGCTTCCTCTTACGCCACAAACGGACCATGGAAGCAAAATAATATTCAATAAATAATTTCAGGTGGAACTACTTTACATTGTAATAGCCTTCCAATTTCAACCTTCCTCTAAACTGATATAATAAATTGGCATAATGTGAGAAAACATAGTTATGAAACAGCATTATCATGTTTGCCATGGTGAACTTTGCAACTCAATTTGAATATGGAAGCTTGGTTCCTTTTTGTTAATGCAGGGAAATTCTGAACCATTGGTGGATTTGCTCCATATTACAGCCATGCTGGTGAGAGGAAATTTCGAATAGTACTCGGAACGCTTTCATGTCCAGAAAGCAGGAGGTTCAGTCTGCCCTCCAAATGCTGGTTTTTCTTTTGGTTCACTTCTCTTCCATAACTGTTCTTACTTTTCTTTTTCTTTTCTTCTACTTGGCAGGTGTTGGATTACCTAGAATCTGTTTCCCAGAGATCATGATCTCAGTTATCAACATTAAACACTCATATTTCTGTGTCCCAATTCTGAAACACCCAACTTCATTGGAAAAGTTGCATTCTTTCTGCACTGCTCAACATAAGTTCAGGTACTTTGCTTTGTGCATCAATCATCTTTCTTCGTAATGATATAGTTCGTCAAAACGCGACTATAACGCTGAACTTGTGAATAGGTAATTGATCTTTGGCTGGAATATACAATCACTTGAATCTCCAGCCAAATAACAGGTAAATGCATACTGTCTATGTAACCCTTTTCAGTGAAACTCTCGACACTTGAAACAGGTCTTCTGAAAAATGGAACATTACACAGTATTATTGAATGTTGACAGCCCTTTGCTTTTGCAGCAGGAATTTTTCTGACGTGAGAGAATATCAAGATACAAGGAGTGAAGAACGGCATTGAAAATTTGGAATTTTTGGTACAGAAACAAAATATGAGCCCAAAAATCAACCAGAAAGTCTTCAACCTTCCATTTCTTTGTTCATATTTTCCCTCTTGTTTCCAATGGTGGCAATCCTCGACAATCTAGCACAGGTTTGTGATATTTAAGGAGGCATTAATAGAGATTTTCAAATATATCATTCAAGAGATTATAAAAAACAAGATGCCTAACTGGGTTGTAATTGAGAAAATTCATCAGAACCAATCTTTAATAATATACCATTCAAATGCAACACGACTGATTCCGTTAGTCGGACACAACAAAAACTCGGGAATAAATTTTTATTATAAAATAATATTTTTATTTATATTTTAGAACAAATGAAAAATAAAAATAAAAAAAGAACTACACAATTTTTTGAATGTTGCCATCAAAGTTAATAAAAACATAATTGTAAAATACTTGGAATACTTTTAAAAAATTAAAAACAAAAAATAAGAAATAAGAATATTACAAAAGGATCGAAATCGCTGCCAAATTTTGAAAATCATTCAGTTACCAAATGGATCCAAAATTATATTATTCAATTCGCTTTCGCTGAGAACTGAAAATTTGGCCTACAGTAACACAAGTTTCACCATCAAAATAGCCATTGGCAAATTCTGTAGCTGAATGAAAGCAACTCCTTCAGACGGCAAACTAAGAACCTTAAAGATAATGCCAGTGGAATGCATCACATGGGTATTCAAATGGTTCCAGTGAATAATACTTGATTTTAAAAGCAGAAAGTATTTTTCATAGTCAAAATCGCTGATTATCTCTGATTTCTCACCTTCACGGAAACACAATACAACTATAGCTAAAACGGGAAAAATAAAAAATAAAAGGCCAGTTCATTCATAAATATAAAAAAAGTTGACTCAAGATTCCATTTTTCATGCCCCAACGACTTCGGTAGCACCCTCGACAACTTCATCAGCAGGCCTATCTACTTTCACGCCAACATCTTCCGAATAATCACCATGAACCTGTACACAATCAATGAAAACGGTTCGTTGGTAATGATGATAAAAGTGATTGCAACCAACTTCACAATCTCAACTGATGTAAGCATTTACTTGAATACTAAATTGAAGCAAGCATACTGTAGAGCAGATTTGTAATGAATCTTTCAAGGAATGAAAATGGAGGGTAAAAATGTGGGAGACAAGGTAATCAGAAGATTGGATAAGGGGGCAACATAGTTGTATACCTCCATCAACTTTCCAAGATCAAACTTGGGAGCTTTCAAGATCTTGACCTTCCGGATAAAAACATTTTGTAGAGGGTATATGCTAGAAGTTGCCTTCTCAATTTCCTTTCCAATGGATTCAGGGATGAACTTACGGACCAACTCTTTCAGATCACATGAAGTTGCCTGGTTGACCATGATCTCCCTCATCTTTCGACGGATCTGTAATAACAAACTATAGTTAACAAACAGTAACAGATTGCCTGGTTGATAGTGAATCATCAATCTCATTCTCGTGTCCCTCAAAATCAGACTCATTTCACATAAACATATTTCTTTCCATGCAAGAACACAAAAACGTAGGCTAAGGCTGAGTACTCTGTTTAAAATGTATAACTAATTATTCAAAATATAAAATTGTAGTGTAAAAAATATTCACTAAATAAATAACTTGTTATAATTGAACTAATAAAACAACTAAGATTGATGTACTAAAAACATCAGGAAAAAAAACAACTATAATTTGCTATCCGTCAAGATAAATAAGAACTCATTAACCATAGATAAGTTAAATCTAGTCTAACACAAGAGTTAAAAATCCATTCTTAGAAAAACACAAATGATACAATTGTTTTGTATACAGTTCTAAGTAAACTAATCCTCAAACCTAGAAAAACTATTGTCAACAGCTGGAAGTAGGAAAATGGAGAAGAAAAAATATCAACGACAATCAAAATAAGTGATAGTAACTGCATCCCTTTCTATCGGAAAACAGAGAATGAAAAAATACAAAGGGGTATATAAAAAATGGACCAACAAAAGAAGCAAACAAACAACTAAGCTAAATATACAAAGAAACAACTCCAATCCAAAAGGACAAGCCTGAAGGATAGTAACTATAGCCGTGGAAAAGGTTGAAAAAAGTCCCAGTGGCTTAGGCTAACACAAAAGAGGTAAAATGCTACAATCAGAAAGATAAAATTAGAATAAGGTAAGAGACATGCTACACTAATTAACAATACATAACATAGTGCAAACAATGCTCTCATACATGCCACTGTAAAAGAAAATGTGTTGGCCAGAGGGTTTTTTCATTCATCGATATCCAATATCCTCCTTCCCAGTATACTCAACATAGAAATTTAGGACACCAATGAAAACTTTAATTTGGTGAAAGATGACGTGTAGTAACCTGTCTAATCTGACTGGATTGTGCATAACAGGTCCTCTTGACCTGGTTTGGGCGTCTCTTGGTAAATCCAATGCAGAACATCCTCAGAGTATAATTGTCTGTGGTCTTAACATCCACGTGAGCTTCTATTAATGTATGCCACTTCCTCACCAATGACCTCAATTTATCAGTAGTAAAATTCATTCCCTGAGCACAAATGGAAGTTTTAGAATTCAAAAACTTTATTCCATGGATCATGACAAGGTTGAAAAAAAATATTTTTGAAGAAAGCTTCCATAACAACTCCAAAGAAATAAGATAACCCATTCATACCCAGAAATTAGTTAGAACATTCCTCCCTTGAACATCTTCAGCTCTCAATCTAATCTTTCTGTAGGCGTGCTCCTCATCATCCTGAAGGTCAGCCAGTGATACCTCGAACACTCTATGTTTAAGCCCCTCAGAAGCAATCTGGTGAAATAACAATTATTAGCATCTTAAAAGACACAAGCAAGAAGAAAAATTACAACACCATAAGAGAACTAATTGCCATAGAAATCTACAAGTACAATAATACATCCAGATCTCACATTCTACCATCTAACATCAATTACCCAAGGTACAATACACAATTCGCTTGAATAATTTAGATTCAACATAAAAGAATAACGTTTACAATCCTTGCGATGATACAATATGCAGCATGTTGAAAAACAAATGCATCTAGTTAATATACAAAATGAATGACTTTAGAGTGTGTTTGGGAGTGATTTCATCATTGTCAAAATCGGGATTGATATAAAATGCAGCATGTATAAAAACAAATGCATCTAATTAATATACAAAATGAATGACTTTAGCGYGTTTGGGAGTGATTTCATCATTGTCAAAATCGGGATTGATATAAAATGCAGCATGTATAAAAACAAATGCATCTAATTAATATACAAAATGAATGACTTTAGYGCGTTTGGGAGTGATTTCATCATTGTCAAAATCACTTTCTTCTCGTTGATCATGTTTTGCAAATTAAAATTGATTTTAGTAAAGTTAAAAAATCCCTTTAAATTAATTTTTAAGTTATCACTCGGATGAAATCACTAATTATACCATCACGCCCAAGCACACCCTAGTACCACCACATCAGCAGAAATTCCTAAACCGCCACAGAAACCATACTTTCTCCAATACATTATACATCACTAGGACTCGTATTTATGTTCTTTTTCACTTCTTATATGTGCCTAAATAATGTTGTGCTCTTACACGTGAAATAACATCCAGACGTCTTCATCTAAGAGAAAACACAGCTATTCGTATGAATAAGGGAAAATAAAAAAACTTTCGCATGAAAACTAGAGCAAAAGTAGATGAAGAGAGCAAAGACATGAGCGGAAATAACCAAAGAAACTATGAATGAAGGATAGCGAATACTGCGTCGAATTTACCTTGGTACCCTGCGTACGAGTTACGAGAGTCTTCCCGACGTTCTTGACACTGAACACGGAAGGAGCCTTGATATCGTACCAGTCCTTCTTTGCAAATGGGTCAACACTAAAGGATCCACACATGAACGAAAACAAATTAATAAACCCATCGATTGAGCATATGGAAATCAAAACAAACAAAACCCCCACGATATTATAAGCTTAGATCTGATAATGAGAACTTTCTAGAGAAGAGAACAAGAGACTTACGCCTTCTTCTTGCCACCCTTTTTACCTTTCGAAATCCTCTTGTTTTTTCTGCAATTATAAGAAAAAATATTGAATCAGTGAATAGTCAAACGTAGAATGAAGCGAGGGGAGGAACGGAGACGAAGGATACCCGACAGCCATGGTTGGACGAGTTGAGAAGCTTAGAGCAGCTCCAGAGGAAGAAAAACCAGCGAGAGTGAAACGAAACGGCTGTGCCAAAACCCTAATCTGGTCTCTTTAAATAGGTCCTCGGCTTCTTAATTTTCTTTTTTCTTTTCCTTTTTTTTTCCTTTGAAGATGCTACAGGTTAATTAGGTTTGCTTGCCTCCTGCCATTGTCAAAATTACAATCTTAGCCTCCCTAATCTAATTAATTAATAAATTAAATTGAACCTTTTCTTTTATAAAATTTAAATTGAACCTTGGATAGGCTAAATAAGTTTATATAAACTTTGAAGTTTTAATTCCAAATTAAACTAAAAATTATAAGGGACACTTATCAATCATAACAAATTTAAACTAAAAATTAAAATTATCATCCATAGATATTTGGCAAACAGTCAATTTCCATTGTGAGCAGATTTAATCATGTCACAGTAAAAGTATCAGTCAAAAGAGTGATATTGCCACATGCGAGATAAATTTTTAAATGTAGGTTGTTGGCTCGAATTTAATTTTCCCTACATTTTTATTTATATTTGAAATAGATTTACATGTGTTTTTAGTTGTATTACAGTTGAAGGTGGAGAGCTTCTTAATCATGTTCAAGTATTTATTCACTCCGAGAATGATCAATTTTAATTAAAATAATGGGGACAGAAACAAACCTACAAATTTAAGATGAATACAAATAATGTGGATATAACTCATCAGTGACATATTATCAACTCGATAATAATTTGCACAAAGAGAGGATAAAGGCAGGCAAGACAAACTATTTGTCCTTACACTAACTCGTAAGCTTCTTTTTTGTTAGACTAATTATTGATATCGACTAAATTTATATCCACAAAGAGGACAAAAAAATACTTCTTTTTTAATCGACTTGTTGTATTAAGACTTGAGAGTATCATATATGCTTTAACAATGTGCTTACTTTAAGTTTGATATATGGAAAGTTGAAGGCTTTCTTAGGACAACGTTGAACCGATCAAGTTTTGTTTTGTTTTTCTTTTTTTTCTTATCGGAGGTTTGAGGGATGATTTGTCTATTAACTAATTTGTAAAAAATATATATAATTTTCGATCAATAAATTTACTGACAAATTATGGTATCAAGAGTATTGTTGATTCAAGTAGTAGATATATTCAAAAACTATTTCTTTTAGTTTTAACAATTATAAGGCGAGGGATTAAATCATCGATCTTAAAAATGGTAGTATTTTATATACTTAACTATGTTTCATTTCGCTTTCAAACTATACTCTTTCTTCAGTGCAACAAATGTGGAAAAAAAAATTAATTTTCACCTTCTAAAGAATGAGCAAGTTGCCATTTTCTAAACACAACATGTAAAAGTATGAATTGGAACTCATGATCTTTTATCCGAAAATAGTTGTTTTAACCGGTTAAAAAAAAAACCAACAAGATGCCTTAACTGTCGTTGTACTCATGTTAGCAACTTCTAAATCATGCTTGTTTGGTAAGTTCGTCGTATAATATGAATGATTTGATGTAAATTTATTAGAATATCATAAATAGATGACCATTCAAGAAGTTTTATCGACCTAGGATATTTAACTAAGCATTAAAAAGACCCATACATTTCCAATCAAAATGAAAAGCTTGGATAGACTATTTAAAGAGATTTTTATTGTTTTTTATAGATACCATGTAAAATTACATTATGGACTCGTGTATTTGATTCAAACCTATAACATTTTGTCAGAAAATACGTGTCTTAATTTGTTGAGTCATGCTCAAGTATGCCACATTATTTATATGGTTAAATTATAATATTGATATAAAATTTCATAATCATGGCGTTATTAACCTTCCTACTTAAATGTCCAAATAAGTTGCTCTCTATATATATAAAATCAAAAGTATTTGTTAGTATATGATTGGGTAAATCTTTAACCAACATCTATTTTCCTTGATAATTTCAGTCATGTCTATTCCCAACTAATAGTTGTGAGTTGGAATAATTTGAATGTTGTAATAAAATCACCATTAAATGTTGTAAAAAATGATAATTTCATATTTATAAATTTGATAAGTTGAAACTACACATAAAAAAGAAAAAAAAAATAGAGTTACAATTATAAAGAAGAATAATCCCCACTCTGGTTCTCTTGAATTGAAGCTCTCTCCGTGTAAGTTTTTTCTTTGTACGCTTCCTGAAATCCACGAAAATACAGTTAAAATTTTGGGATTTGAAAGAAAGGGAACGCCGCTCCACGGATTCCGCCCTTCCAGCAGAGCAGGGCGACTGCTGTAGTATCCGTTTGCCCCACCAATTTCAGTGAACACACATCCACTAGAGAGCAACAACGGTGGAAGAAAGTTGCCCATTGAATCTGTCTTCTCGGAGCTTTCTTGTCATCAGTAACAATGGCGGAAGCATCAGCTACAGGTAACGGCGGGGGAGGGGCGGAGGCGTCGCTCAAAGACAAGGGCAATGAGTTTTTCAAAGCAGGGAACTATCTCAAAGCTGCTGCACTTTACACCCAGGCTATCAAATTAGACCCTTCGAATCATGCTCTTTATAGGTTTATTCCTTTTCCCTTTTTCATTTTGGTTTACTTGATACTGTTTTCACGATTCTTTTCTGGGTTCTTGCACTATTTTATCGACTTTGACTACTGGGATTGAATGTGAATACAGTGTTTCTCCCGATTCATGGAAGTTGTCTTGTTATTGCAATCAAGAACTTGTTCTTGATCTCCCTGTAGCTTATTGACGAGATTAGGCTATAGAATTTAAAACAGATTAATTTTTGAGAAGGGAATAAGAAGAAAGTTAAACACTCATGATAGTGGTTCGGCAACGTAGGCCTACATCCACTTTCCAATCAGCAGCAAATATTTATTCTCTTAACAAGAAACTCATAACCAGTGCAATCGGACTTGAATTACAAAGAAATTTAGGAAAAAGTGAACTTTCTCCCCTTCAGGTCTCTTTCAATACATTCTGTCATTAGCCTTTAGCATGGCTCACAACCAAACTGAAATTTAACTAGCTTCCAACTGATTCAAATATATGTTTTGGTGTTTACACTTGTCTATTTGCTTAATTTTGATTACTGGCTGGCAGCACACAATGTTAGATTTCAAGAGTTTGTGTAGAAGCTAAAAACGTGATGTTGTGAACATGAGACAGTGATAGTTTTGAAATATTAGTGCTTCCATGCCATATGCCGGTATGAAGCATAAACTGGGCTGACACACTTTTTGTTTTTTCAGCAACCGTGCTGCTGCATTTCTACATCTAGTCAAGCTCAACAAAGCACTTGCTGACGCTGAGATGACAATTAAATTGAACCCACAGTGGGAAAAGGTAACAGATTTCATTCCCTTGTATTGTTTGAGCTAGACCCTTTTAAGTCCCTTTCATTTAACACTGCGGGCTTGATGTGCAACAGGGATATTTCAGAAAGGGATGCATACTGGAAGCCATGGAAAAATATGATGACGTATGTATATAGCTCCCTTCTCGCTTGATAGGCTAGTAATCACTCAATCATTAGTGTGTATGATGGGAAGAGGGTTAAAAGGGGGAGAGTCAAGTGCACGAGCTCCCGTTATGGGTGTAGGGTCCATGTGGTTAGTTGTGATATGAACATGGATAATTTGTTTGCAAGAGTATATAGTGTTTGCGTATGTACAAAAAGAGGAGGCCATTTTTCCATTTCTTTTTTTTATAGTCTTCTTGAATCTACTGTTGGATTTGTACCTTTCTGATATTCACAATAATAGTTGAACTCTACCACTGCCTTCCTCAGTGACGGCTCTGCTGAGTACTGCTGATAATTTAAATGTTCTTGTTCTAGGCCTTATCTGCATTTCAAACAGCCCTGCAGTACAATCCACAAAGTGCAGAAGTCTCAAAAAAGATTAAAAGGGTTTCACAGTTGGTGAAAGATAAAAAGAGGGCTCAAGAAGTGGAGAATAAGAGATCAAATATAGATATGACAAAGCACTTGGAAAAGCTGAAATCTGAACTGGTGAGTTGCATTCATTTAACCAAGGTCATTTTCACAGTTTATGCTGTAAATGTCTGCTAGATTATGTAAATAGCAATTTTCCAAGTTCCCATGCTCCAAGGATGAATTTGCTCATAAATTAGCCATATTCCTTTTCTTTCAAGGGTGCCTACTGAACTAGGTTTTCCTCCCCAACTGAACTTGAATCACCATCTCTTTCTCTTTGCAGTCTGAAAAATATGGATCTGAAGATCGCTGGAAAGACATATTTTCTTTTGTTATTGAGACTATGGAGGGTGCTGTGAGATCGTGGCATGAAACGTCTAATGTGGATGCTAAAATGTACTTTCTACTTGATAAGGAAAAGACGGATACTGAAAAATATGCTCCAGTTGTAAACATTGATAAGGTGGCAGCCGCCTACTTCTTGCTTTATTTCCAATATGGCTTCACTTATTACTTTTTCAGTTTTTTGTTTCATTTCTTAATATATTTAAATTAGGTTCATAGAAGGGTTCTCTCTTTTTGAGGATGTAATTTCCGATACTCTATTATTGCATACAAAATTTTGAGCACCAGCGACACTGTTTCTTTGGTTCCGAGAAGAAATAGTTTTACAATTATACACTAACTACTTCAGAATCTTTTGTGGCATGCAGGCATTTGAATCACCCCACACCCATAGTGATTGCTTTCAATTTTTAAGGAAATATGCTGAGGATTCAGTTTCTCAAGCAGCATGCTTAGTAACTCCCAAAAGCTTGATATCTTACCCACAGGTGAGGTTGAATGTCTGTGTTTCTACATTGCAATGATATGGTATATCCATGGAACTCTATTCTTTCATTGTGACGATACAGTATATTCTAGAAAATCACTTAGTTTACTAGGTTAATTAGGCCCCATAATCAGCTCATATTTAACAAACAACAATTATACCATTTATTTTGTGTGAGATTAATTAAACAGTAGACCTACCATTTTCCTTGGGAAATCTTCAGTGGATACTTTTTTCTGTCATTTGAATATTCATCTTTTCTTTTCTTGTGAAAGATAATCGATCTGTTTCCTATGTTCCCAATTCTTGTCCTGTCTGTCACTCTTCTTTTCTTCTATGTAGAGGCTATATTTCTTGTTCAAACCATAAGACTTGGTAACAGTATTCAGTAATAAAAACCATAGAATGGAAATGATATTAAAAGATAATAGATAAAGAACTATACGAGTTCGTAAGTAATTCAATGTACTTGGACCCTCGCCCTCAAGCTCACCCTAGCCTAGACCAAAGACCAACTAAGCTCTTGCCTAGCTTCATCCCCTCTCACTTCCTCTATTTATAACCAACACTTTGCTTAATTGATAATATGCTGTTAGTATCCTAATATTATTTCTAACAATTACCTCTAATGGCATTCCAAACATTTAGTTGAGCAAAAATTCTCAAAAAATGAATAAATTTGCAGGTCTGGAAAGGACAGGGCTCAAGAAAATGGAAGCATGGACAGCATGATGGTTTCTTCATTCAGCTTGAAGCACCTTTACTAAGAAAGCTATGGTTTGTCCCTAGTTCCAGTGAACTAGGACGACCATTGTGCCGGTCTCTCTCTCTCTCTCTCTGCTGTCACATTTGAGTGTTTTATATACATATAATTGCAATTATTCTATGCAAAACTGCCATTAAGGAGCACAACAATCTTTAAATTTTCTTTAGCGTCAGTTCTGTCTGTCTGGGTTGCATAATTTTGTTTGACATGGAAGGTTTCCCTATTTTCATGTGCTTTTCATGTGTTCTGACTTTTTTGGTTGCAAACTGTCACTTTTTATTAACTCGTGTGGGGTTTTTTTTTACTCATGTTTTACTGTAAACTTCGGTATTCTAGCCATTTAGAGAAATGGGGAATTAGAGTACTGCCTCAAAAATAATAAAACTAATGTCAGGATGATCTCCGCAGGCATGAATCAAACTCTGTTCAAAACTGTGGTTCATGTCCACAATTTAACTGTCATCCTTTGTTCCTGGAGTTATGTAACAACTTTTATGGTTCGTCATCATGTCTTGAAATTAGATGTATTGTAGAGATTTACTTTCTGGTTACAATGTTGTAAACTTAGATTATCGTACATCATATTTAGATGCCGCAAACATCTCCAAGATGTTGAAACGTTAGAGAATGTTAACAAATAATTGTTAAACGTTCTAAAGTCATTTTAGTTTTGAGTAATTTCTCATTCCACTCTACTGTCTAATTTATCATTCATATTACAATTTTCCAAATTGAATATAATATTTTCTCATTGATAGACTATATATGATCGTTAAGTTTTGAATAAGATTTTTAGGATTTGATTCAAATTTCCTTAACTTTGTTGATCTTTCTCATCTATAGACTATAATATCAATGTTGTAGAGAATCTGAGATCCTTATGTACTTTCTGACTTCGATCTTTTTCAGGGATCCTGAGGTTCTGGATATCAGTGCACATGAATTACTACCGCGCATATTTAAATAGAAGCCTCTAAGCACTTAGATCCGATAGCAGCCAGACTTGTGTTCAAACTTTTCATGTCATCATCGTTTTTGCGCGTTACTGATGAAGCTGGTTATATCTTCCATCACTCTTAATTTAGAAGGCTCTTTTTGAAATGTTTGCAAGGTGTTTCACATTCATACTGTGTCCATACAGATAGAAAACTGATACCTGCTCTGAATTTTTAGACCATGGAAATTCTTTCTTGTATGATTGTTTTCTTTTTGTGTAGTGCTGCGGAGTGTTTTAGTCCTTGGAGAAGCTAATCAGCATTTCACAGGTTCTGCGTTAGGTTTCTATCTTGAGATTTTCCTTTGGTAGTTAGTAATATGGGATGGATTTCTGTTTTTGAATGCTCAGAGATACATATGGTATGGTTTCGTTTTATGAAAGTTTGTATCTTTTTTGGACTGAATCACCGTATTGAGATTTGTTCAACAAATGTGGGATTGAAAGATCGAACCTTCAACCTTAAAAGACGGTACAAGTATCTTATCTGTTAAGTTATGTTTTGATTGACATCATTGTAACGGTTAACAAGATAAATAAAAACACATTAATGTCCTTTGTTTTCAGCTGTTTGTGAATCTTAGAGATATCTTCTCAACCTTTTTTACTACCAACCTACCAACCTATGTAAATTTACAAAAACGATTTTTACTACCAACCTACCAACCTATGTAAATTTACAAAAACGATTATTATTAATTTATGTATTTTAATTCATTGAATGAAAAATGAAAATTACTGAAAACAATTGTTGACCACCAGAATAATATTGGAGAAATATCAAAATATTTACACGCACGATTAGTCAAAACTCGAAAATAGTTGTGAAGTTATTTTTTCGACTTGTAAAAAGTGATTCAGGCACAATAATTTTTTAAATTTTAAAAATTCATTAAATATAGTTTTCAAAACAGTTCCAGAAACAACATGAGGACGATGTGTTTCGAAATGGCTTTCAAACTAAATCATAACAATAGAATAACAAATAGAATAACAGAGTGTTGAGTACAACAATATGCAGGGTTGAGAATTCGAAATTTCGAGCTGTGATCAAAGATGTTTGTTCAAGTTGGCATAATAGAGATGACATAATAGAGCGTTTGTTGACGACGGAGTCTCCCCACTTTTTTGAACATTATTCTTAACATGAAGTAAACTGAACTATAAAACAAGGACATAATTAACTCAGGACTGCTACAGTTTCTTTACAAAAACAACGAATAAGTTAACAGGCGATCATAGAAAGTGATTCCTAACCATCAAATCTATAACAAAACTCATTTGAATCTATCCTCCTGCTATTCATCTGCTGCAGAACTCTTCCAATTTCGGGCGGTACCATGATGAATGGCTTAATAGTACCTGTTTCCATAACCCTGCAGCCATAGAAAAAACCCCATCAGAAGTTGATCATGATTCATAATCACCAGCTTTCATTGAACTTGGTTTTTTTCAAGAGAGTGATTTTGGAAGAAAGTTTGATACTTACTTCACATGCAACAAGAGATCTGTAGTTGGTATTTGTGAGCACTGTGCTAGTGGAACCACATTCACTATCATTGAGTGAACTTGTGGACTTGTCAAGCTTCATCAACAATGGATACTGCAAGTCTTGTGCATCACAGCCAACAAGAGACGACGATCGCTGCATCCGCACGGGCTTCTGGACGTTCTTTCCCTCAGCTGATGCCTTCCTTCTGCTTGACTGTCTCTCGAACGATTCGGGCCTCGTCTTGGGCGCGCTCTGTGATCGGACTTTGGCTCTTGAAGATTCTGTATTGGCCATGTAACTTGGGAACATTGGATACTCAAAGGACAGAGACTGCACACATTCTGGTGTGGGGAAAGCAAAGGGAGTTCTGGATGGATTGGGTTTGGAAACGGCTGAGTGATCTTGTGGGCTGCTTTGTGCAGTGCAGACGGAGTAGTCCTCAAAATGGCGACTGCTTCCTTGTGCGCTGATGTCGGTTAGAGATGACGGGATGGGCGAGACACAATTCGTCAAAAGCCTAAATTCATGTTGTTGGTCTGCAACATAGCTTGTTCTGTTCTTTGAGCTTCTTTTGTACCCTCCATGATCCATCTCCACAATCTTAATGTTCTCCTCAGCAGCCTACATTAACAACATTGAAACAGATTTGTTAAAGTTCCTACTCTTTTTTTGCTGGTATGTTAAGCACTTGGGCAAAATGAATGCCTGCCTACTTACATGATCTATATGACTGATATGATCTTCCTTAACCGATTTTACAAGGATTGATTGCCATTGATATAAATGTTTTGTCCCTTCGATCATCCTGATCCGCTGTGCCCGAGCTCGAGCCTGAGCCGTGATCAATGCTTGCATGCACCGGAGAGTGGCCTTGGCCTGTTTTCTTACCAAATGACCCCTAGCCAAAGCTTGCAACTTCACCAATCCTCTCAATGCCCGGAGTGCTTTTCTTGCCTGCATCATCCAAAGAGATTGGTAAATGGTAACCATTTGCATATCAAAAACAAAATAAGAGCGAAAGTTTCGAGTTACCGTACCAAATAAGAACGGAAAACTGACTGAATCTTGATGGCAGCAGTCTCCTCAATTGCAGTAGCTTTCACATTGTCTACTTCAGTTAGCCAGATTGCAGTGGCTGCAGCTTTTGCTGCTGCCATGGCCAAGGCTTGCCTTTTCTCCTCATAATCTACATCCATTGCAGCCTGAGCTAAAGGTACTGTTGTGGCAACCATCTCAAGAGGGTACGAATATGAATCTCTCGGCGCCATGGCTGCAGCTGATGATCGTCGAAAGCTCCATCGCCTTTTCTCCTTAGGATTGTGGCGAATCGATATCGGGGTGGCTGGATACTCGGACGAAGGAGTGGAAAAATTCTGATTACTTGGGCATTTTTCCTTCTCTTTATCCTTCTTCCCTGCCAGAAAGTTCCTAAGCCATTTGCTTGTCTTTCCCATCTCCTCCCTCAAGTAATCTCAAGCATCATAGTAAGAAGAGAGCATAACCAAACCATTCATAAGCCTCTCTTAAACTGAAGAGCAGCGTCTGGTTTGCTCCTTAATAAGAAGAAATCCTCTGTTTTCTCCTTCTGATAAAAACCTTAAAATAATATTATATTGCTGTTTCATTGTCTCCTTGTCTTCTCAACTTCCATTTTTACAGTGGGAGGACATGGATTTGGTGTAAGCTTGATGGGAAAGAAACAGAGGAATCTCCATAGACAAGCCATAGAAGCTTTCTTAGCATTTCAAATGGATTCAAACTTCTCCAAATTGTCCTTCTAACAGCAGCTGCACAATTGACCATGTGAAAAGGGGTAAAACTAAAAAAAAAAAAAACAGGCTCAAGAGTGTGAAAACTGAAAACTGCAAATTACATATTAAGCATGTGACAGTTGGCTCTTTCTAGATCCAATTTGGGGACTTGGGATTCACAAAACCAAGATTTGCTATTCTTATTCCATATTTATCTCGAAAACCTCGCTATAAACGCCCTTCGAATACTTTTTAAAAGTATAGAGACGAAATAAACACCAAATTAGATCAGATTTGTCTCTCATTTCCAAATTACTTTGTAGGGTCCCTTTTGGGTAAGGCTATAGGAGAGTAGATGCACGTGCAGCTCAGTCTTTGTTGGGGGAAAGAGATCCAAAGTAAAGCAAAGAACATTATAATACCAAGACCTCACAAGAAGCAATCTTGAGAGAGAGAGAGTCAAAGTGTTTGGTAGAGAATGGAACATTGTGATGTGGCACAAAATACTGCCCATGAAACATACAAGTGGTTTTTTTTAAGATTTCATTTGTTTTTTTTACTCTGTCACTCACATGGGATGTTTACTTGTTCAAATGTTTTTATTCTTGGAAACACTGTTTTAGATTTTGTCCCCATTTCCACTCTACCTTATCTTATTCTTCCACATCTTTCCAATCTAAATCATTTTGAAGTAGAATCCAAACCCCCCTAAAATTCCATCTTCTCTTCTCTTCTCTTCTTTCTTTAGAATTGTTTAGAATTCCCTAATCACTCTTCCCCTCCCAATGGAGGAGTTTTTAAGGTCTCCCATTCATTTCTCAATGTTCTTGGAATATATCTCAACCTATGCCGGGTCCTCGGTTGCACCCGAATACTTAGAGCCAACCTACCAGGTCGGCCTATCCAACTCTTTAAAACAGGTCGGTCTTCGATAATTAGCCCCCAACAAATAGACAATAACATAACATTGTAGAAACGTAGAAAGACTTGGAAATAAGCCTCTATAAATAACAACGAATCCTCCACATTTCTACAACATTTTGATATTATCCAATTTAGACATAAATCTTCGTAGTTTTACTTTCGATTTCGTTCAAAAAAGTCTCATACATCAGAGAAGTCGTTATCCCTCACTTCTATATCAAGAATCTTCTCGATTCGAAGTCAATGTGGAACTCTGATCGCATTCTCTCGATGGTCCTATATTAGAGAGAACAAAGAGGATCTAACGTCACAATCTAACTTTGATTTGAGGGTGGAAAAACAGGGTCTGGTTTTGATGTTAGAGCCATTAATTGTGGAAAAGGGAAAATTGTGAATTGGTGAAGCCTCAAGGATGATTAAAAAATTGAGTTAGGTGCAGAAAATGTTGTTGAGATGCAGCCCTCATGGGGCCATAACGCCATTTCTGTGCATGTGATTCAAAGATTTGTCGGTTGAAGAATGTTAACTTCATATCCTTTTGATTCCTTTCTCCATTTTGTCTCAACTCTCTCTCTCTCATCTTGGGATTATTTAATGTAATGACCCTTCAACATTCTCAAAACTGCATTAAATTCGCCCTATCTTGTAGGAAAAAAAAAGGAAAAAAAAAACTAAGGTCCCTTTCTCGTAAACATTCTCGAACCTATATAGAAAATTGAAACAATCAAAATAAGTTTCTTATATCGCCTACTTGTAATTAATATTCAATCCACGTGTGTCGGCCTCTAGATTTGAATAATTCCCCCCAAAGAAGACTCTCTATGAGTGGTTTTTTTCCTATTAATTTTTTTAATTAAAATAAATTTATTTTTGGCTTTTGGGAGGTGTGCTACGTTTTTTTTTTCTTGTTATAGAATTACTTTTTTTCGTGTTTATTTTTTCGAAAAATCTTGCCTTTATTATTATAGTAAAAAGAGAAAAAAGAGGTTGAAAAAGTAAATTTTTGGGATCCAAGAGGGTAGAAAAATTGCAGAGATTGTATTGTCGGCTTCTTCTTTTGGCAATTGGCAAACAAATTCGTGAATTTGTAGCAATGGTTATGGATCATGTCGGATTTGTTAAAATGGTAAAAAAATTTTAGTGCTTCGTAAATCTAATTCATGATTCATCCAACAACCATATCTTATTCCTTCAGTTTAGGCAATTTCCAATCAATATCATTATTTGGATTATTTACCAAACATAGTAAAAATATGAAAACCATGCTTTAATAACTAGTGCGTTATTTTACTAATTTTCTGTGCTTGTAGTTAGTTTTTATAGTTGGAAGTTTAATTAAGCAGTAGAAGAGTAGATGTAAAGTTGAGGAGATCAGTTTGTAGGCTTAGCGGTGTTAGGTGTTTGTTTGAGAGAATTTGAAAGATAATAGTTTAATTAGTGAGTTAGTGGTCGGTTATTACTTTTCGTGAAAATATTTGTAACAATTCTCAATTCAATAAATAAAAGTTATTTCTTCGTACAACCTCTGTTCCTTTCATTATGTTGTTCTCTTTATTTTTTGTTCCAGAATAATTCATCATTATTGATAGAATTACAAAAATAGTACAAAAGGTAGTATTTATTTAAAAAAAGAATTATACATTCACCAGAAACCAACCAAAAGCACATGGTGTGACTTTTTATTTTTTATTTAAAAAACAAAAGATAATGATAATTCATCATATGTATTCTAAATGGGCATCTCAAGATATCCAGACATCTTACATTACCACAAAAGTGGAAATCGTCACGACATCCGTATCAGAAGTGCAAAAAAAAATTATTCGCACACCCCCCTGAATTAAAAAAAGTCGACGGCGTTACACCATTGGGATACTTCGAACGTGTGCTTTTTTTTATTCTAAAATTTTTGACCCCTTTGAATAATAATAAGGTCAGCTTGGGTTCCAAACCTTTTGATATGCGGCGTTTTAGGACTGGATCTAAAAGCTCTCCAACGTGTTGCGGATCCTTCGGCCGTGAGAGGGTCTTTTTATGAAACAAAACGGGCCTAAAAATTCAAACTTTTCCCCAAAAACGAGAGGGTTAGCAAGCTGAATCGATAGAGAGGCCCAGTTGGGAAGAAATAAAAGGCTTTATTCTCAGTTTCTTCGTCTACCGATAGAACGGATTCAGGCCCGCCAACGTAACAAAGGCCTATTCGAAATCGGAAGTCCAATCAGGCTGTTCACATATTGCTGTAGAAATCAAGACCACTCAGATTTTTAGTTGCCTTGATCATGGATCTGTAAAGATTTATTCCAAATTATAATTGGATAAGTTGTAGTAGTCTCCGTGATTCTTGTGGAATGAACTAAACTTTACCCATATCCACCGTTGAGATCTATAGCCAAGGTCCAAGGATTTCATCGCCAATAATCGCCATTGAAATCGTAATGGAGCTTAATCGAAAGAAGATATTGATGGGTATGGATAGAAATTAAGTGGGAACGTTCCAGTTCTGCGAAAGACCGGCAAATCAAGTTCATTAATGGAAGCTCGTGGACTTCCATTTGGGTTCGGCCAAAATTTAATGCAAAAGTTAGACTTTAGTCTCTTAAACTCCATAGGATTTGGATTAGAGAGAAACCTCAACGTTTAAATCTGAAGAAAAAAGAGCAAAAAACCCCCAACTTCCAACTTCCAACTACCCACGCCGTCCCCTATTAAAACCCCCAACCGCGCAGGGCTTAGGATTTTTCAAGAGAAAGCGTCGAAACTTTTTCAATCTCTCTGATTTCTGTTCATTGGTGGGCTCTATGGCTTCCATTTCTGCTCTGGCTCTGCTGCTTATCTTTCAATCTGCGATTGCAAACGCTGATGATTTGAGAGACCTGCTGTCTCCTCTTCTCTCTCCCATTTTCGGTTGGTTGTTCTTCCCCTTTTTGTTTGCTGCGATTTTCGTGGCTGTTCTTTGATGGGTTTCTTGAGATTTTCCCGTTGATTTTGTGGGTTTTGCTGAAGTGGGTCGCTAAGAACAGGGGTTTTTGTTGTTTTGATTGGGTTTGAAATTGCAGAAAATGTCTGTAAAGAAGTAGAATGTGGAAAAGGAACTTGTAAAGCTTCTGGTAATGGGACTTTCTCGTTTGAATGTGATTGTGATCCTGGGTGGAAGAAGACTCTTTTGGACGATGATGATGATGATCACGCCAAGTTTCTCCCCTGCATTATACCCAAATGTCGGTTTCTTCTTCTTCTTCTTCTTCTTCTTCTTCTTCTCCTTCTCTCTCTCTCTCTCTCTACTTTGAAGCTCCTCTGAAAAATAGCTCTGTTTTTAGCTATAATGGTTTCGTAGCTGGCTGCTAATTTTAGCTGTTTGATTCTGCAAAATAGGACTTGTTTTTTGTTTGATGAAGGTATTTGCTAAAATTTGTGGCAGAGGTGGCTGATAAGATGTATATTTAGAGTGTACTGTGTTGCATGTGGAAAAATGAGATTCGAATACTTAGTTTTATGACTACTGTACATTTAATTTCTATTCTTTTGGTCCTGTTTTAAAATTTCATATTGTGTTGAGAAGGAATCGACTACCCGTTTCAAACTCTATGTTAAATCTGATGCATGTAGCTTAGAACATAAGTTTATATGATGTTGAATAAGATTTGTGTCAAGTGGAATATGGAAAATTTAAGGATAAATTTGGGTAAAAAGATATGAAACATTAGTGAATAAAATCATGAAATGAGAGAGTTTTTAGCATAGCTCAAGCATAGCCAATGCTTAACCATAAGGTTGGAGCTAAGAGCTAAGATGTTGCTCAAAACTCAAAACTCGAAACTCGAAATTTAAACTCGAAAAGTTGATGAAAGAATGGCAGATTTATGAAGACAGAGAAGCAAGTTAAGGCCTTGTTGGGTTTAACTTAGATGGGGTATAATGAGTAAGAAGTAGAGAAGATAGATTTGGATTGGAAACACAGATTTTCATCTTTGAAGGTTCTCAGGGTCTTGGATCTCAAATGTTAGTGTTGATAAATCTTATCACTTCACTACTTTGAATGATGCTGATGGGCATTGGAATTTAACTGTTGATGCCAGGTAATCTAACTCACTCGTGCTCGTCAGCCCCTCCTCCGGGTGTACAGAAGAAACCAAGAACTAAAGACTCGATATTCGATCGTAATGACCGCTCCTATCGCTTGTCCTTGTTGCCTTGCTTGTTTTGGTGAATAAACCTATTTATGCACATAGCTTTCAATGTCTATCTTGTTGTATAGCTTGCAGTTGGGTGGACTGTGGAGGCGGTTCGTGCAACAAAACATCGCCGTTGATATACAAATGCACTTGTCTCGAGGGGTACTATAATCTTCTCAATATCACTGCCTTCCCATGCTACAAGGATTGTAAGCCCATATCATACTCGCCAAGCTGATAATTAAGTGGCAGTATAACGATGCACCGATCGAGTTGCTCGTCGCTAATCTTACTTGTGTTTGTTAATGAATCTGAAGGTTCAATAGGAATGGATTGCAAGGAACTGGGAATTCCTGTGACAAACGGACCGGATTCTACAACTCCCAGTTCAGCTACAATTGACAACAACAATGGTTAGTCAGTTCAATTTCAACAACTAACTTCTTTATCTGGTTGAACCTTCTGTTTTTCCCATAACACTCAGATTTAACCTCTTCATAAACAGAACGACAAAAAAACGAGTTTCTGCCACCGTGACGTTTTTTAGCATTCAACTATCTATCATATATGTATTTAGAATTGCATTGACAGTCATTCAAACTATTCTGTTTTACAGCTGCTGGCGGATTAGTTATCAAGCGAGGCTCCCTCTCGATGATCGGTTCGGTGGTAACGTATGTCGCTATGCTGCTGCTGATCAAATAGGCCGATGAGCGTCGTGCTGGTTGATTATAGTTTTGATTCTGTGGATGGTATTTGTTGTGTATGGCCTCTATTTTATGGCATTGGCTATAGAATAAATTTCCCATTTGAGTTCTGAGATGGGCACTGTATATATGTTAACAGACAGTTGTAGGCTTACAGCATATATTAACAATTTATTATTATTATTATTATTATTTTTGGCATTATAGACATCTAAAATAAAATAAGCATAAAAGTGTAGGACTTTGATTTTTAAAAAATCAAGAAAATAATAATAATTAAATAAATAATATTAGTGAAAGTAAAACCACATAAAAATGATATAGAAGTGATAAATAGTCGACTTATAATTAAGTTGCGTATACTCTATATTTTAATTTAATGAAATAAATAGTCCACTTATCCATAAGAATCATGTAAATCAGTATATAATAACTCACTGTTTAGCATTATGAAAAAAAAATAACAATTAAAAGATTGGTATACTAACAATTGAGAAGCTTGTGATTTTCAAATTCTTCCCTATTTTGAAGAAATACAAATAGAATTACCATTAAAAGTTCAAAAGGTTAAAAGATTTTGAAGAAAAAGCTAGAAATAACTATAAAAATATTTGGGAAAGAGAGAGAAAAGTTTCAAATCGTAAAATATTTTTAAAAAGAAATACAGATAAAAGTTAATCATAAGTAAAATTCAAAACAACAAAATTAGAATTAGTTTGAGAAAGAAAAAAGTTACAGAATCGGAAGAAACAGCTTGAAAGAGAACTCTAAAAACATTTTGGAAAGAAAAAGTTATAAAATGAGATAAAATAATGTAGTAAATTTTTTAAAAATATATTAGAAAAAGGTTAAAGAAAAATTTTAGAGAGTAAATAATTAAAAATAAAGAGAGAAAAAAGTTTGAAATTGCAAAATATTTTTAAAAAGAAATAAAGACGACAGTTTGGAGAAAAATGAATAAATATTAGTAATTTTTTTTAATCATAAATAAATTTCAAAACACAAAAATTAGAAAGAGGTTGAGAAAATTTTGAGAGAGAAGAAAAAATAAATTAAAAGTAAATAAAATTTAAAATTTGGAAGAAAAAAGCTGGAAATAACTAGAAAAAAATTTTGGAAACAAAAAAGTTAGGTTTCGTTTGATAACCATTTTAGTTTTTGGTTTTTCTAGTTTTTAATTTTTGGTTTTTTGTTTTCTGCTTTTTAAAAACAAAAATCATAACCATTTTTTGGTTTTTTGTTTTAAAAACTTAGAAAATTGAAAATACATATTAGAGAGAAAAAATTTCATGTAGAGTAGAGATGACAATGGTGTGAGTGCGAGTGAGAATGCTCTCCCTTATTCTCAAGCTCGTGAAAATTTTTAGTCTCCATCTCTATCTCGTTCTTGGGTCTGAGAGATGTTCTCGAGAAAAATTATCGGTTTTATAATTGTTTATAATTATTTTTAGAATTTAAGTATAAAAAGTGTAATAAATATATATTAATTATTTAAAAAATGGGATCGGGGATGGGTATGGGGTTGGGGTCGGGACATGCATTTTCTATTTTTGGGACCCGACCCCGCGGAAATTTTTTTCTTCCCCTAATGTAGAGACATGAATATAGAGATGAAAGTAAACTTTTGGAAGATAAATTTTAGAGGGATAAATAAAAATATTTATAAAAAAAATAGTGAAAGAAAAGTTAAGACAAAAAGATAAAAATTTTGGAGAAAAAAATAAAGTCTAGAGGAAAAGATATGTTAAAGAAAAAAAATTACAAAGAAAGAGAAAAATTAGTGAAAACAAATTTAGAGATAAAAACTAGATTCAAAATATATTTTTTATATAAAATAAATAAATACAAAGATAAATAAAAGTTACAGTAAAAGAAAATTGAACAAAAAAATAAAATATAATTTTTAGAGAAAAAAATAGATGACAGTAAGAAAAGTTATAAAATTTGAAATTTTAGAGAGAAAATAGTTAACAAAAATATTAAATTTTTAGAGAGAGAAATGAGTTAGAAAAAAAACAAAAATACAAAAAAATTTGGAGAGAGACAAATAACAATAATGATTTCCCTTGTTCATAAGGGTAAAAAAAAGCTAAATGTGTGCTGTTTTCTAATGTTTTAAACTCGGAAACCGTATTTTAAGGTTATTATAGTATCCAAAACCTTTCATTTTAAGTTATCTTAGGTTATAGATGCACACATGACATTTTTACATCATTTAGAGTTGATTTCTAACGGAAATTACACTTTTGTGCAGAAAAATATCGAGCTAGGCGTCTGACGCCTTCCCCAATCCCGAGATTGCCCTTAATGTAAAACGCACGTTTTGGTGTGATTTGAGGCCTTCCCAAGCTCTGCCACGTGTCGTCCATGCATTAAAGGTTGTCAATTCAACAAGTACCCAACCAAAAGATGTTTGCAATGGATGGCTCTTCACAAAGCTCTCAACCTCCTAACCACCTTGAAGTCCCTATAAAATTCTCTTCATTCATCATCCCGGAGTGATCATTTCAGCTTTAGACATTTACTTCTCAGCTTGTTTTCGTTTTCCCTTGAGTTGTTATTGTTTTAACCTTACTTATTTCAAGTTTTCCCTTTATTTTTCCAGCTTATTATTCTTCAATTGTAAGTTTTAGTCTTGTTTAATTAAAATTCCAGCAAGTTATTTGTTACTCTCATCTCTCTCATTCTCATTACGAAGTTGTAATCACACAACCTTGTGGAATTGACTGAGTATTGCTCCTCAATCTTGAACGAGAACGGGTTAGGGTCATTCGGGTTACAACTCCATAATTTCCAGCTTGTTTTAATTCTACTCATCCTTTAATTATGTCGTCTACTTCCATGAACATTAAATTTTGTTTTTTCTTTATCATCATGAGCTAAATTTATTTCTCCCAAGCCCAGTTATGGATAGTTAGTTAAAGTTTTTTAAAATCCAACGAGGCAAAAGGCGTTTTTCTCCTATTTTATCACTTAAAGTTGTTTCCATAAGTTGGAACTTGATTTGGCCAATTAATATTTTAACCAAACATCAATAGTTGATACATTTTCACAACTTTACTGATTTAACTTTAGAGAGGAATACTTTAGACATAAAGATTTCGCTCGGGTAGCCTAGACATAGGACCTCGACCTAAGGTTACAGTTGGTTCTTACTAAATTAAGTTCTTTTTTCTAATAGACATATTAGGAATGGACTTAAACCTTCAAAATCACTTAGACATAAGAAGATGACGAAATAAAACCGAAGAAAATTTATGAGAGCCGCCTGGCGCCTAGTTGGAAAAAGTT